GTATACTAGTACTAGTATGATGGTACATTGTAATGACAACATAATTACACGTTCAACGACGTTGCGTACAAGATTGTACATGATTGTACATATTAGTCATCGGCCACAGACTTTGCCAAATTGCCAGCCAGTCAAGTAAGAATCAACAACTCAGGATAATTTGCTGACCTAAGGGATAATTTCACATTGTCTTTCAGTTTCTGATTACCTCTGGGGTACATGTTGTCGGGGTAATCAGGTGCTGGCGCCTGAGTGATGCCAAAGGCAACTACATGTACATGTACATGTACGTGTAGGAGTACTAGTGAGTAGTATCTTGTCTCGAATAATCAGTGAGAATTGTTTCAAAAACAGGCAGTGTCTGCCACGTTATGATTAATACATGGGTCGAGGGCATAGAAGCCCAGGACTTAGGCATTGGCGGATAATGCTCAAAAAGGTGGCAGATTCTGCTCGCAAAGCTCGAAAAGCAGTGAAACTGGCAGAACCATACAAACCTTATGGCGGGCAATTCCTCGAATTCTGCTCCATTTCTTTATCCACATGCCAAACATGCATGAAACTTACCAGAAAAAGTACCGAATTCTGCCAATTTTTCTGCCGGCATTATCCGCAAAGGCCTAGCCCAGTTAATTTTGCAAGCCAATTACAAGTATACATTGTATTACTACAGTCATCTACATGTACATGAATTGTACATGACATGTGGCAGTGAAATGAGTTCATTGTCCATACATGTTCATTGTATCAGTGCATGATTTCTGTTCCCATTTGATGAAGCCTGAACTAACTGATATTTGAACTGTTGAATTGCATTACAGTCATTGTGCTGCTCAGCTGTATAGGGATAACAAGACACAATAGAGAATAGAACCTTGATCAAAATTGTAAGTCCTATTGTATAGCCGGTCGTAACGCGGACGTGCGAACTTACTTCGCTCCACAGGTACCCTCGGTCTCAGGTACTCTCATATTTGTGCAATTGTTAATTTTGCTCCTGAATTGTCCTCCCTGTTGCTTTGCTACCGTCCTCCTCCTTCATACATACATGCGCATGTACATGCATACAATCATAATAATTATTATGGAGGAGTGCTCCGTAAGCCTTGCGGTGCTGCTGCACAATGCATGTTCACTTCACACAGACACAGTACTACAGAAGCATGTGTGCATGGAATAGTTCAAGTGTGTGCTTGTATGGTATTTGTACAGGTTGGAATGTTGCTCACACACCCCGGGCCATAGTCCATACCCGCATCTTGGAAATCTCCGTATAGTGTTATAAGGGTTGAGCACATGGATTCATGCCACCCATTGTGACGCTGAGTAAGGACTATTCTCACTTCACGAAGCACTTGAGCCAAGCAGATCAACCGCCATTCCAAAAAGCCAGATGTGGCACTCGCACTCAACTACTCACACGAGATACATGCACATCCATGTGGCGACACGCTGAGATGAACAAAGTGATCCACAGTCCACTTCTAGAATTCTAGTGCTGCTCCCTCTTCACTTTTCACAGTCAGTTACATGTATCATGAGATGTGATGGTGCTTCCCCAGGCGTCCCTCCCATATCACGATGTTGTTGCATGCTCTGGTCCCCATGTCCAATGTGCACCAGTTTTGCGCAACTACATGTACAATTTTATAATAGTATAGACTAGTAATACTTCACTTGTTCGTGATGCGATGGTCCAACCACGTCAAGAGCAAGAGGTGGCATTCATGCATGCTCTGTGCATGTATTTATGCAGGTACATGTATGTACGTATGTCATGTATTATGTATTGACATACTTCACCAGCTGGTGCTGCCAAGAAGCGACAGTGTTAAACAATGTAGGATTATTATTATTATTATTATCATTGATTGATTGATTGATTGATTTTATTTTACTTCGCAAGTTCAAACGGGTTCCTGGCCCAGTTATATGAAAGCGAAGGATAGAATTTGCCAAAATTCTAATGAGCAACAGCATAGGCAATATTATCATAGAAGTGGAGTACTATGCGAGCGAGAATACTGAGAAGAAAGGAACATGTCAAAACCTGACGAAACACAACCTATTTCAGGCATACATAAGGAAGGCAGGCTAGCTTAAAATTGACCGTTGAAAACTATAATACTCAGTGTAATAAATCTCTAATAATCTTTATTTCAGGATATGCACTTCGTTTTTGAAGCAGAAGAAACAAGAGATGTGCATCATGTGGGGCGCGCGTGCGACCGACTTGTCCGAGATTCATACAGTCATGTCCGTATAGTGTATACAGTCAACTTCGCTAATAACGACTGCGGACATAACGACAATTCGCGAATAACGACATAATCTCCATGCCCAGAGAAAAATCCCATCCCACTATATAAATACATAATTATAATGAGACTTCGGGTATAACGACACTTCGCGAATAAGGACACCTTTTTGATGCCCCGCCGAGTGTCGTTATAAGCGAAGTTGACTGTACAAGTACATGACCGGTTTGTACATGTACATGTACATGTAGAGATCTACACGACTATTCTCTGAGTCTCTTCCTTCTACATGTACATGATTGTAGTCATAATGTGTACAGTCATGTACATGTACCGTGTACACAAGGCAGAACAACAGAGACCAAACATCTTTCTCGTTACTCCGAGTTTCGTGTTCAAACACACTCATCAGACGATAATACATAATAGTGCTAGTATTTTATAATAGCAACAAAGAGAACAACTTACGGTCTGCAGTCATCGCCACACTACAACGAAGTCATGAAAGTTTACCAAAATCAAGATTCTCTTGACACATTCATCAGTGGGGGGGGGTCGTGACTGAAGAGTAACCATGCTGAACGATGATTGAATATACATTCAAATGAATAATGTGTTACGAGAACAATAATAATAAAGTGCTAAAATAGAATGAGGGAAGGTGAGACCGTGGCTATAGAAGTGAAGTGAGAGCTAGCTAAGTGCAACGGAGGGGGGGGGGGGAGACACTAATTGTAACGCTAGAACTGTGTAGTGAGACAAACAATCATGCTGTGCACCTACGAAAACAATCTTAGCGCAACTGCATGTTTCTTCTGCTTACAAAGATCAGGCTTATGCAAACGAATACAAAAAGCCTCAAGTACTTTCAACTGACTAGCATACCGTGCACGACAAAGAACAGAAAAACTAAAATCATCATACACCTGCAGACACTTAGGGTGAGACAACAAAATGAAAAAAAACGGCAGACTTCTTACGATCACAATCACCGTCCGATTCCTCGTCTCCAAAAACCGCAACCTCGTCCTCCGTCTCATCTTGAAACTCGTCCTCAGTGTCGTCCTCCGTGTCATTCTCCTCATCAACACCGATCGGCCCCAGGCTCGCTTCATGTTGCTTGACCTCTGTTCGTTGGCTCCTCCTTTGATTTTGATGGTAATTTGTTACATGTACCATTGTTGTTGTTTTTTATTTATTTAGGATTCCCCAAAGGCCGAGGCCTAAGTCGAGGGGGTCTCCGTTCATGGCTTACTGGGAATATAGATTGAGAAGAGGAAGGGTTATAACAAATGCGTACTGTAGAAATCAGCCATAACATTCGTCACTATGTTATAGAAACTCTGGAAGGAATGAAACCAGCGGGTTCGAAGCGGGTGTTGGCAAAGATGGTACGGACACGAGACACAAAGCAATGACTATTTTGGGTGGTTCTAATGTCAGTGGGGAGAGAATTCCAGGTGGCAGCGGTAACAAAAAGGAAAGTGGCATGCGAGTATGTTGTGGTTGTGGTTGTGGTTGTGGTTGTGGTTGTTGTTGTTGTTGTTGTTGTTGTTGTTGTTGTTGTTGTTGTTGTTGTTGTTGTTGTTGTTGTTGTTGTTGTTGTTGTTGTTGTTGTTGTTGTTGTTGTTGTTGTTGTTGTTGTTGTTGTTGTTGTTGTTGTTGTTGTTGTTGTTGTTGTTGTTGTTGTTGTTGTTGTTGTTGTTGTTGTTGTTGTTGTTGTTGTTGTTGTTGTTGTTGTTGTTGTTGTTGTTGTTGTTGTTGTTGTTGTTGTTGTTGTTGTTGTTGTTGTTGTTGTTGTTGTTGTTGTTGTTGTTGTTGTTGTTGTTGTTGTTGTTGTTGTTGTTGTTGTTGTTGTTGTTGTTGTTGTTGTTGTTGTTGTTGTTGTTGTTGTTGTTGTTGTTGTTGTTGTTGTTGTTGTTGTTGTTGTTGTTGTTGTTGTTGTTGTTGTTGTTGTTGTTGTTGTTGTTGTTGTTGTTGTTGTTGTTGTTGTTGTTGTTGTTGTTGTTGTTGTTGTTGTTGTTGTTGTTGTTGTTGTTGTTGTTGTTGTTGTTGTTGTTGTTGTTGTTGTTGTTGTTGTTGTTGTTGTTGTTGTTGTTGTTGTTGTTGTTGTTGTTGTTGTTGTTGTTGTTGTTGTTGTTGTTGTTGTTGTTGTTGTTGTTGTTGTTGTTGTTGTTGTTGTTGTTGTTGTTGTTGTTGTTGTTGTTGTTGTTGTTGTTGTTGTTGTTGTTGTTGTTGTTGTTGTTGTTGTTGTTGTTGTTGTTGTTGTTGTTGTTGTTGTTGTTGTTGTTGTTGTTGTTGTTGTTGTTGTTGTTGTTGTTGTTGTTGTTGTTGTTGTTGTTGTTGTTGTTGTTGTTGTTGTTGTTGTTGTTGTTGTTGTTGTTGTTGTTGTTGTTGTTGTTGTTGTTGTTGTTGTTGTTGTTGTTGTTGTTGTTGTTGTTGTTGTTGTTGTTGTTGTTGTTGTTGTTGTTGTTGTTGTTGTTGTTGTTGTTGTTGTTGTTGTTGTTGTTGTTGTTGTTGTTGTTGTTGTTGTTGTTGTTGTTGTTGTTGTTGTTGTTGTTGTTGTTGTTGTTGTTGTTGTTGTTGTTGTTGTTGTTGTTGTTGTTGTTGTTGTTGTTGTTGTTGTTGTTGTTGTTGTTGTTGTTGTTGTTGTTGTTGTTGTTGTTGTTGTTGTTGTTGTTGTTGTTGTTGTTGTTGTTGTTGTTGTTGTTGTTGTTGTTGTTGTTGTTGTTGTTGTTGTTGTTGTTGTTGTTGTTGTTGTTGTTGTTGTTGTTGTTGTTGTTGTTGTTGTTGTTGTTGTTGTTGTTGTTGTTGTTGTTGTTGTTGTTGTTGTTGTTGTTGTTGTTGTTGTTGTTGTTGTTGTTGTTGTTGTTGTTGTTGTTGTTGTTGTTGTTGTTGTTGTTGTTGTTGTTGTTGTTGTTGTTGTTGTTGTTGTTGTTGTTGTTGTTGTTGTTGTTGTTGTTGTTGTTGTTGTTGTTGTTGTTGTTGTTGTTGTTGTTGTTGTTGTTGTTGTTGTTGTTGTTGTTGTTGTTGTTGTTGTTGTTGTTGTTGTTGTTGTTGTTGTTGTTGTTGTTGTTGTTGTTGTTGTTGTTGTTGTTGTTGTTGTTGTTGTTGTTGTTGTTGTTGTTGTTGTTGTTGTTGTTGTTGTTGTTGTTGTTGTTGTTGTTGTTGTTGTTGTTGTTGTTGTTGTTGTTGTTGTTGTTGTTGTTGTTGTTGTTGTTGTTGTTGTTGTTGTTGTTGTTGTTGTTGTTGTTGTTGTTGTTGTTGTTGTTGTTGTTGTTGTTGTTGTTGTTGTTGTTGTTGTTGTTGTTGTTGTTGTTGTTGTTGTTGTTGTTGTTGTTGTTGTTGTTGTTGTTGTTGTTGTTGTTGTTGTTGTTGTTGTTGTTGTTGTTGTTGTTGTTGTTGTTGTTGTTGTTGTTGTTGTTGTTGTTGTTGTTGTTGTTGTTGTTGTTGTTGTTGTTGTTGTTGTTGTTGTTGTTGTTGTTGTTGTTGTTGTTGTTGTTGTTGTTGTTGTTGTTGTTGTTGTTGTTGTTGTTGTTGTTGTTGTTGTTGTTGTTGTTGTTGTTGTTGTTGTTGTTGTTGTTGTTGTTGTTGTTGTTGTTGTTGTTGTTGTTGTTGTTGTTGTTGTTGTTGTTGTTGTTGTTGTTGTTGTTGTTGTTGTTGTTGTTGTTGTTGTTGTTGTTGTTGTTGTTGTTGTTGTTGTTGTTGTTGTTGTTGTTGTTGTTGTTGTTGTTGTTGTTGTTGTTGTTGTTGTTGTTGTTGTTGTTGTTGTTGTTGTTGTTGTTGTTGTTGTTGTTGTTGTTGTTGTTGTTGTTGTTGTTGTTGTTGTTGTTGTTGTTGTTGTTGTTGTTGTTGTTGTTGTTGTTGTTGTTGTTGTTGTTGTTGTTGTTGTTGTTGTTGTTGTTGTTGTTGTTGTTGTTGTTGTTGTTGTTGTTGTTGTTGTTGTTGTTGTTGTTGTTGTTGTTGTTGTTGTTGTTGTTGTTGTTGTTGTTGTTGTTGTTGTTGTTGTTGTTGTTGTTGTTGTTGTTGTTGTTGTTGTTGTTGTTGTTGTTGTTGTTGTTGTTGTTGTTGTTGTTGTTGTTGTTGTTGTTGTTGTTGTTGTTGTTGTTGTTGTTGTTGTTGTTGTTGTTGTTGTTGTTGTTGTTGTTGTTGTTGTTGTTGTTGTTGTTGTTGTTGTTGTTGTTGTTGTTGTTGTTGTTGTTGTTGTTGTTGTTGTTGTTGTTGTTGTTGTTGTTGTTGTTGTTGTTGTTGTTGTTGTTGTTGTTGTTGTTGTTGTTGTTGTTGTTGTTGTTGTTGTTGTTGTTGTTGTTGTTGTTGTTGTTGTTGTTGTTGTTGTTGTTGTTGTTGTTGTTGTTGTTGTTGTTGTTGTTGTTGTTGTTGTTGTTGTTGTTGTTGTTGTTGTTGTTGTTGTTGTTGTTGTTGTTGTTGTTGTTGTTGTTGTTGTTGTTGTTGTTGTTGTTGTTGTTGTTGTTGTTGTTGTTGTTGTTGTTGTTGTTGTTGTTGTTGTTGTTGTTGTTGTTGTTGTTGTTGTTGTTGTTGTTGTTGTTGTTGTTGTTGTTGTTGTTGTTGTTGTTGTTGTTGTTGTTGTTGTTGTTGTTGTTGTTGTTGTTGTTGTTGTTGTTGTTGTTGTTGTTGTTGTTGTTGTTGTTGTTGTTGTTGTTGTTGTTGTTGTTGTTGTTGTTGTTGTTGTTGTTGTTGTTGTTGTTGTTGTTGTTGTTGTTGTTGTTGTTGTTGTTGTTGTTGTTGTTGTTGTTGTTGTTGTTGTTGTTGTTGTTGTTGTTGTTGTTGTTGTTGTTGTTGTTGTTGTTGTTGTTGTTGTTGTTGTTGTTGTTGTTGTTGTTGTTGTTGTTGTTGTTGTTGTTGTTGTTGTTGTTGTTGTTGTTGTTGTTGTTGTTGTTGTTGTTGTTGTTGTTGTTGTTGTTGTTGTTGTTGTTGTTGTTGTTGTTGTTGTTGTTGTTGTTGTTGTTGTTGTTGTTGTTGTTGTTGTTGTTGTTGTTGTTGTTGTTGTTGTTGTTGTTGTTGTTGTTGTTGTTGTTGTTGTTGTTGTTGTTGTTGTTGTTGTTGTTGTTGTTGTTGTTGTTGTTGTTGTTGTTGTTGTTGTTGTTGTTGTTGTTGTTGTTGTTGTTGTTGTTGTTGTTGTTGTTGTTGTTGTTGTTGTTGTTGTTGTTGTTGTTGTTGTTGTTGTTGTTGTTGTTGTTGTTGTTGTTGTTGTTGTTGTTGTTGTTGTTGTTGTTGTTGTTGTTGTTGTTGTTGTTGTTGTTGTTGTTGTTGTTGTTGTTGTTGTTGTTGTTGTTGTTGTTGTTGTTGTTGTTGTTGTTGTTGTTGTTGTTGTTGTTGTTGTTGTTGTTGTTGTTGTTGTTGTTGTTGTTGTTGTTGTTGTTGTTGTTGTTGTTGTTGTTGTTGTTGTTGTTGTTGTTGTTGTTGTTGTTGTTGTTGTTGTTGTTGTTGTTGTTGTTGTTGTTGTTGTTGTTGTTGTTGTTGTTGTTGTTGTTGTTGTTGTTGTTGTTGTTGTTGTTGTTGTTGTTGTTGTTGTTGTTGTTGTTGTTGTTGTTGTTGTTGTTGTTGTTGTTGTTGTTCCTGTTTTTGTTAAATCTTGTGTTCCCAGTGTCTTCGCCGGTGCTTGACATCCAGTACACTGTACTGTAATAATTCATTGGTAACAGTTGATCATCTAGGTCTTTGAATGTTGATCGTGTTGTTTTCTTTGTTGAATTCCGTTCCCTTCAGCCTTCTATTATACCTTGTTCATGTTCAGTGCTTGCCTCATCCATATTTACACATGCCACCGACACCACAGACTCAGCCCCAGCACTGCCGATGACAGATGCAGGTGGCGGTTCTGGGGGAGGCAACGGCAACGACGGCGATGGGGGCATCACCCCATCGCAGCGTGCACTTCATTGTTCTCGTAACACATTATTGAATGTATATTAATCATTGTTCAGCATGGTTACTCTTCAGTCACGACTCCCACTGATGAATGTGACAAGAAATCTTGATTTTGGTAAACTTTCATGACTTCGTTGTAGTGTGGCGATGACAGCAGACTTTGTTCTCTTTATCACTATTATAAAATTGTTGTCTCCGCGTCGATTATTTAAATAATGCTATTCGCTATAGGGTAATTGTAGTGTAGGCTAAAACAGTGCTACAACCACGAATCTTGAGGAGATAGCATCAGCGCTGGAATACACTGAGAGTAATAGGAGTGCAAGTGTCATGGCTGAGGTATATTTCTATAACCAGCAGATACCAGTGTAGATAGTGACGCAATATGTGGTTTGGTGTGAGTTTGAAATAATGAGGGTGTACATGTGGGTGCATGAGAGAGAGAGAGTGTGTGTGTGTGTATGTGTGTGCGCGCGTGTGTGTGTGTGTGTGTGTGTGTGTGTGTGTGTCAACCTGTCGGAAGGCTACCCTCTTGCCAAAGCATTTGGAAGTTGGACTGGTTTCGGTTCCACAATCCAGTGTGTCGTTACTACAATAATTATGTTATAGCGTTCATGGCTGAGGTTGTTGGTATGTCTGTTGGCTCTGGTTTCCCAGTTCTCAGTAGCCGAGGCTGGTTGGTAAAGTAACTCAAATTTCACTTCAAGGTACCAGTGCATCTAGTGTCTGCTTTAGTTAAAGAAGCCTCTTTTACGGGCCAATAAAAATCTAGTGTCTGCTTCTATCAAAGTAGCGTGCTGTCTATTGGTTACCCCAGCAAGTGTAGGGTGTGCATAGGTAAACTGTCTTGGCCGTTTTATGCCGATGTACTCCGTGTGGTATAGACCAGGTGTGCATTGGTGGTCGATTCACATGGCTTCGCCAGTTGTGTGGATTAGACAGTTACCTGACGCAAGTCTTGATCTGTCTCATTCAGATCTTGTTCGCTATCGTTGCTATAGCTTATAAGAGAAAATCTGTGGGTGCACATCCAGTGCATTTGCAGATTTGCATGCTTCTCTTGTGACGGGCGTATACATGGTACATGGTGTGTGTGTGTGTATGTGTGTGTGTGTGTGTGTGTGTGTGTGTGTGTGTGTGTGTGTGTGTGTGTGTGTGTGTGTGTAAAAATGCCGCATATCTCATCATGTGACCCCAGTGTAGTTTGCGAGCGAGAATTTGTTGGCATGTCTGCACTTCGAGATGAGCTCGCTTCTCTTGTTGCATGTTGCTCTATACTACCAAGTATAGGCGGTTATGATCCGGAACTTCTCCGAGAGGCAAAGTTGGCACCTCTTGTTGATGTTGCTGTAGGCTCGTGCTCGTTCCGAAATACACCACTGGATCGAGTAGTCTTCCTGTCTCTCCTTCAATTTGCAGACATACTTGGATAACTCGGTACTCTTCCTTCTCTGCTCGTGGTTGAATGTACTTGTGGTTTCCGTACCGGGTCTTGAATGTTGGCTCTGTCCCTCCGAAGTACACACGTGCTGGGTTAACATTACTGCTTGTCACTTCGGCTTTGTAGACCAGCTGCTGTGTCTGGCACTTTCCTCTCATAGGACAGTCAGGCTTCGCTCGGCAGTTGTATGGCAGGTCTTCCTGTTGCGGGCTGAGTAGCTTGTTGTTGTTTCCACGGATGATGGCGGCTACATTCGGTCAGCAACTGTAGCTCACCTTCACCGAGTTCTTGTTGAAGATCTTGTGAAGCTTTGATGCCGCAGGGAAGTGCCTTGCCACGAGGGTCAGAAATGACTTGGCCACATTCGTTGATACACTTCTGCTAAACGGGGGGTTAAACCAAATTATCTTCCTTCTTCTTTTCTTATTTCTTCCTCTTTTTGCCTTTTAGGTGTACGATCCAGCGTTTCAGAATGACCGCTATTAGTCAGAATGACCGCTATTAGTCAGAATGACCGCTATTAGTCAGGGCGCTCCTGTATACCGGTACTGCCTCCTGGAATACATCATGACTGGATGATATGTCGGACAGCCTCCTTCCGATGGATTTGGGGAGGTTCAGACTGATCACTGGTGGATGATTGGACAGGGCATTGAGGTACAGAGGTGTATCGCCCGGTGTCCTGTACGGCTTGTACTGGCCAGTCTGTAGGTTAATTGTAACAGGGACACCTCATCCTTTTCATGGTGATGTTTACGAAGTTCACCACCTGCAGGTTGACGTCGATTGTGATCTTCAGATCATGGCGCTGGAATTCCTGGGTTATCCTCTTTTTCAGTCTGTCAGAATCACTTCCCGAGGTGTTCCGCAGCACAGCCAGGCCGTCATTCTTTCCTTAATCAATTTTTTACTATGTTCACATACCCAACTCGTAAAATAATAAGGAAAGACAATGGTACTGAGACAAGGACAAACGTGACAACTACTGAGTAGGGCCTGCACCGAGACACAGCAGTGATGGTGGGGCATTGATGGCTCTGCCGACCTGAGGTCTCGGTATCACGACCAGAAACACGCACCAAAAACAAAAGATAGAGCTGTAAGGGTCAGGAAAATAAAAAGAAAGCAAGGGTTAACATCAGCTAGTGTGCAGCGCAGCATCGTACCAATGGGAGTCGTTGACAGGGCACTAGAATGTAGATGGGTCGACAGGCAGAATGTCCGTGGTCCGTGGACCATCGCCAATCCTGGCCGCGGAGGTATTCGTTGATGTTGCATTTAAACTTTTGAAGATTTTTGCGAGTTGGGGCGGAGTCTAGAAAAGCTGGCGGCAGGGAATTCCATAGCTGGATTGTACAATACGGGAAACTGCGGAGAATGGTGTCTGGTGCTTGACGCGGTAGGGGATTTCTTGTCTGGCAACTAGTGGCCGGTGGCCGTGCGGAGATTGTTTCTGGTGCGAGTAGCGTCACAGGTCTCCAGCCTTGGTGGGAGGACTGCTAGCAATTGAGTCGGACCGGTGAGGAGGTGTAGTTTGTACGTGTATGTTAGTGCAGCAACATATCGCCGTAGGCTGAGGCTCTGGAGCACCGTCCCAGGACCAATGATGCGCAATGCACAGCGTTGGATGCTGTCTAGGCGTGCAGGATGGGAGGGAGCAGCTCCCATCCAGACGAGCGGAGCATACTCCAAAATGGGCCGTAAAAACCCCTTGTACGCTGTGAGGCGGCCTTCTCGGGAGAGATAGGGCGCAGCTCTCCGCAGGAGGCCCAGGCCCTGTTTGCCATGTATACACTGCGTGGATGTGCTCCGCGAAAGACAGCTTCGGATCAAAAGTCACCCCCAAGAGCTTTATTGTGGATGACTCTGGCACAGGGTTGCCTCCGCAGAGAAGAGAGGACAAGGCTAGCTGCGCTCTTTGCAGCGTTACTGTTATAGCCTGGGATTTTGACGGCTCAAACGCTACACGCCATTCCTTGCCCCAGTCTAGTTGAAGTTGTCCTGAAGCAAGGCAGCAGCAGTGGGGAGGTCGTTGCGAAGAAGAGTGTACAATGTCGCATCGTCAGCAAAGGCTTCCAGCTGCATGTTCCCAGCAAGGCATGTTGATACGTCGTTAATGTAGACGAGGAACATGGTTGGCCCCAGAATGCTGCCTTGTGGGACTCCCGCCTTCATGGGGTATGGACGGGAGGTTGCACCACCAACAACACACTGCATGCTTCGGTTGCACCACCAACAACACACTGCATGCTTCGGAACAGGTACGATGTCAGCCATGCAAGGAGGATTCCTTGAATGCCACATTGCTGTAGCTTGAAGAGGACACCTGCTTGAGAGACCTTGTCGAAGGCTCCAGCAATGTCAAGTGCAAGTACGCGTGCTGCGCCCCCACGTCCGATAGAGAATGCACAGGAGTGGTGTAGCGTAGTAAGAGCATCGGCTGTACCCAGATTCCGTCTGAAGCCAAACTGATTCGCTGCAAGCAGTGAGTTACCCTCGAGGTAGTTCGTACAAGTAATTTGAATGTTGATAATGGTCTCCATTAGTTTGGATATCACACTAAGGAGAGACACGGGGCGGTAGTTCTTGAGCTGTGAGTGAGATGAGAGCTTATGCACAGGGACAACATTGGCGTGCTTCCAGGCCTGAGGCTGAGGTTGGTATCCATGCCGGAAGCATAATGAGAAAAGCTTGGTCAGGACCGGTGCGAGCACCGAAGCGCATTCTTTCAGGACACGGGGGAGAGGGGGGGGGGGGAGGGGGGATGCTGTCCGGCCCCGTGGCTTTCGACTCGTCGAGACGGCGCAGGAGGCGGTGAACATTCTGACATTCTGGATGCGGAAGTGGACGTGGGTATACAGTCCGATTGACTAGCTGCATACGTGCTTCTCTAGTTCTGACAGGAGGAATGCACCCACCAGCTCGCAAACCTCAGCCCCATCAAAGGAACCCATAGCAGCGTCAAATCCGTTTGCTGTGTTCCGTTTCACCCTCTGCTGGCCGTCTTGAAACAGAAGGGACTTTCTTGAGTGTTTGATGGCTTCTTCTTCATTGGTGCTCACACTGCATAACTGCTTGGCGAATGATAGGGCCTTATCCAGCAAATGTTCCGTAATTGAAGGGTAGAACTCTAGTACGTCGAAACATATGAACGTATGCCTCTGTTTGTCGAGAAATGGCTTCGAACCAGTCAATGCACAGACGCTGTGTTTTTCATAAGTTCTCGTTCGTAGCTTGTTTTATTGCCAGGAGTATATTGTCCAGAGAGTACTCACGATTCCCATTTCGGATTTAGCAGGGTTCAAGTGATTAGTCTGCAAGGGAGGTTGTTCTCGAACCGGTCTTTGTGATCCTTCAATGTGATGAAGGCACTCGCCTTGGGTCACGCCTCCATTCGGTCGTCGATTTTCAGCGCAGACGCTACTTGCCTGGCTTCACTGTTGATCTCTTCGTAGAATCCATCTGGTGTGGTCTTGTATGTCCCGGTGACGTTATCGTGCAGCAGCTTGCGGTACTGCTCTTGCGTGACTTCGTACAGGTTCCTTGTTTTGTCCGCCTTGACTAGTATTATGTTCTTGGAGCTCTTAAAGGGGAAGTTAAGGCAAAAATTAAAATTTCACCAGTTGTAGTCTTCGGGGTGCTGAGTCGAATGGTCTTGGTCCGAGGAAGCTGAGACGCTTCCTTCCTACTTGAATCCCAATCGAACTCGCGCACTTCCACCGAAACTGGGTGACTGCGCCCTACGAGATGGGGATTTGTATGCAAAATGTCACTAAAAGCGCCATTTCGTTCTTATAAAAGCACGGATGACCGCGATTGGCACATATGTTGTAGTCTTTTGGACGCTGAGTCGACTGGTTTTGGTCCGAAAAGGCTGCGATGCAGCGTTCCTCCTTTATTCCCAATCGAACATGGTTGAACAAGTGGTCACGTGCTCCTGGGTGCCCAAATCACCTGGTCACCACGCCAGCAGGTGACAACTTTCACACCAAGGTTCAACTCGAGTTCAACTCGAGTGACAGGACTGCACCCAAAAAAGGTCAAACAAGCTAGTAAGTTGTACCCTGCAGGCACGGTGACCAGGTGACTGGCGTACGCAGGAGCACGTGACCGCTTGTTCAACCATGTTCGATTGGGAATAAAGGCGGAACGCTGCATCGCAGCCTTTTCGGACCAAAACCAGTCGACTCAGCGTCCAAAAGACTACAACATATGGGCCAATCGCGGTCATCCGTGCTTTTATAAGAACGAAATGGCGCTTTTAGTGACATTTTGCATACAAATCCCCATCTAGTAGGGCGCAGTCACCCAGTTTCGGTGGAAGTGCGCGAGTTCGATTGGGATTCAAGTAGGAAGGGAGCGTCTCAGCTTCCTCGGACCACGACCATTCGACTCAGCACCCCGAAGACTACAACTGGTGAAATTTTAATTTTTGCCTTAAAGGGGAAGTTAAGGCAAAAATTAAAATTTCACCAGTTGTAGTCTTCGGGGTGCTGAGTCGAATGGTCGTGGTCCGAGGAAGCTGAGACGCTCCCTTCCTACTTGAATCCCAATCGAACTCGCGCACTTCCACCGAAACTGGGTGACTGCGCCCTACTAGATGGGGATTTGTATGCAAAATGTCACTAAAAGCGCCATTTCGTTCTTATAAAAGCACGGATGACCGCGATTGGCCCATATGTTGTAGTCTTTTGGACGCTGAGTCGACTGGTTTTGGTCCGAAAAGGCTGCGATGCGGCGTTCCTCCTTTATTCCCAATCGAACATGGTTGAAGAAGCGGTCACGTGCTCCTGCGTACATCAGTCACCTGGTCACCGTGCCTGCAGGGTACAACTTACTAGCCTGTTTGACCTTTTTTGGGTGCAGTCCTGTCACTCGAGTTGAACCCGAGTTGAACCTTGGTGTGAAAGTTGTCACCTGCTGGCGTGGTGACCAGGTGATTTGGGCACCCAGGACCACGTGACCGCTTCTTCAACCATGTTCGATTGGGAATAAAGGAGGAACGCTGCATCGCAGCCTTTTCGGACCAAAACCAGTCGACTCAGCGTCCCAAAGACTACAACATATGGGCCAATCGCGGTCATCCGTGCTTTTATAAGAACGAAATGGCGCTTTTAGTGACATTTTGCATACAAATCCCCATCTAGTAGGGCGCAGTCACCCAGTTTCGGTGGAAGTGCGCGAGTTCGATTGGGATTCAAGTAGGAAGGGAGCGTCTCAGCTTCCTCGGACCACGACCATTCGACTCAGCACCCCGAAGACTACAACTGGTGAAATTATTTTAATTTTTGCCTTAACTTCCCCTTTAACTTCCCCTTTAATTTTCCGAATATCCTCTCTGAGCTGAAAGTCATCTGCCACCTTCCGGAATTTCAGCGTTTCGATCATCTTCTCCAGGTCATCTTCAAACGACTTCATCTCCGGTATCTGAGGTGGGCAATTCTTCGTTTTGAAACCGAACTTGTTTGTGTTCTCTTCCGGTACGCCGCGGCTGTCGCTGCCGTTGAGGAAGAAGAAAGCCTTCCATCTCATCCGTTTCAAAAAAAAATCTCATCCGTTTCACGGCGTCCTCGACCCGTTCGATGAGGCTCCTCGTGTATAGTCTTTAGCCGTTGGCATAGGTATGTTCTTGTATACTCGAGTGCTGCGTCCCACGAGCCTAGCGCCTGTGTGGATTCACAGGACTGAGTGTGCGTTTCGAAGTCTGGAGCCGGCCGTGTGGGGGAAACGTTGAACAGCCAAGCGAGGGTCCCCGTGGTTCGAGTCCTAGTGGTAACAGTCGATTTTTTCTTCCGATTTTCCCCGTTTGCACCTTTCCCTCAAACTCATGAATACAATACGTACTTTTGAAAACAATTTTTTAAATTTCTCCTTAGCCCCGGTCCCTGATGATAGCCCCTGAACGAACACTACTGCATAATACTAGTACTAACGTTAGTAGCAAAAGATTGCTGTGTACTCCTCTGGGCAGCTATTTTCAGAGGAGAGGGGTAAATGTGTGGTGAAAAATGTAGTGCTTTAAATAGATTGTTAATGTTGACCGTTCCAAAATCTGAGATGCAGGTTAGATTTCTCCAGTAGCAGCAGTGGTAGTTTGTGTGAAGATCCGGCACTTGACCAAGCCGTGGACTGAATTGGGTATCTGCATTCGCCTTTTTTCATGATTGCATCCAAACAACACTGGTGATATCAATATGACTAATGATTGTGGCTTTCACTGGCTGCACATACATGTAGAGGTCAGGCTAGCTGGTTCTGTGCACCGGTGGCACACTCACAAACCTAACAGAAATGTCCATTCATTGCATGTGCCAGTTACGGCACACTCTTCTCAACGTAACATGATCGTATAGTAGTTTGTTTCATGACGGCAAAGCACGATGTGCATGTTCATATGCAAGGCAAGAATCAGTGACTGAAGTCACAGTATCAATAGCATTCTGGTTAAACGAAATCATCACAGTTCCCGAGAACGTCTAAGGTTGGAGAGTCAACACGTAAAATCTTGTCAGAATACTTTTCTATGATAATTGTTCTCATATGCAGGGTCAAAAATTCAAATATTTAAAAGTTAGAAATATTCTCAACTGCATGATACGACAATGAATTCTGTTCAAAGTAATAGTGGCGCATTGACAGCTTCACCTTGGCCACAAGAAGAGGAAATGCAATATGGGTAATTGACAAGTATGACAAGGTCAGAAAATCTACAATTGAGGCAATTCAAGTTCATACTGCTGAAGTGGCGTCGCTGACTTTGTGACTGGTTGTGGCAGCCAGTACTCCAAGGGGTTGCTGACCTACAGTAAAACTTCCAGTCACAAGTTCTCTCTATAGCAGCTGAGATTCCTGGTACTCTGCATCAAACTTGGAGTAGAGTGATCCGTCGTACACACCCAAGTCAAGATGGTCCTGTGCAGGGGGGGGGGGGGGGCACGGACAAACACAAGAGCAGAATACACACTTTGAAAGGTTCAGGAATCGGTGGCAACAGGGCCACTCTCCACTTCACAGCGGCCTTGCACCAAGCTTCGTGACCATGACCATGACCATGGCGGTTCAAGGCAGAAAAAATAGAACAGCTCCCGGTTGGCAATATCATCAAGAGTGCATATGACTTTTAAAGTGTTGTCTTTGCATTATCAGTTGCCTGGTGATTGTGAAAGAACTCAGAATACCAGCAACATCCACTCCTGCGTATGTAGAGTACGTCTCTTCCTGTGTACAGGGTGATAATCACTAAGAGGCAATGAGGCATCTCTAAAACTTTCAAAGAAGCTTGCTATGTTCTAGATGGGCATGTGTGGCGCACATGGATTATGCACTGCCAGTGCAGAATCCATCCCCTCAATTTCCGGAATCCCGGTGACCAGACGATCAGGTCTCCCGTTACCGGTCTGTTAGCCCGTTTCTGGCAACTGCCGCCTTCTCCCGGCAGTGCGTTCCGAATCCACGGGCACTCGCACTGCTCTTTCTCTTCTTCTCCCCTTCTCCGCCAGTCTTCCACCCTGTTCAAGCTGTAACTGGTGACGCATCTCAAAAGCCTACCCGAAGCATTTGGTCAGTAAAAAAAGTGAAACCTGTTATGTTCTGAGTCTACTCACAAGACCATGGGGAGGGAAACCTGTTCTGTTCAGAGTCTACTCAAAAGACCATGGTGAGGGAAACCTGTTCTGTTCAGAGTCTGCTGGCATGCGCTGCAGCAGGGTTTCTCCATGTACTTGAACAATGATCATGTCATCCCGGATAGCACTTTGCAGTTAAAGTTTCGGCAAGAGACCATGGGGAGGGACTAGACATGCAAAAACTACTCACAATGCTCAAGGTAAGTGTTTGTAAGACGCCAACATCAGGAGATCATGGTCAATTCTCCCAACTGCCTGGCTCAAAGTTAGTGTTTGTAAGACACCGACATCAGGAGATCATGGTCAATTCTCTCAACTGCCCGGCTCAAGTGAGACTAAGACAAGACAGTGGAGTGTTCTCAAGAGGCAAGAATGCATTTAAAAAAAGGAATTAAGCCCTTGAAGACTTTGATGATCAAGTGAATGCGGATACCAAGTCCCAGGCGCTGTCATTATCAGAGATATTGAGACATGTGGTACAGAAGGGGAAGAGCTTCAGATCAACTACTTGTACCCTGATACACTACATTGTCTAAGTTTTTTGGCAGCGAAGTTCAAATAAGGTGATATGAAGGTGTGACTGTATTGGACAGCAGCTTGCTGGTATGTGTGTGCATTCCTCTGTTCTCCACCCCACACTTTCTTTCGGCATAGGCATGCGACTCCACAGTGCACGCCAAAAACCGGGCCGGCCGGTAAAAGACACAATTGTAAATGCAGCCCATCTTGGCAAAAACAGCAAGCATTGTAATACATGCTATATGCTTGCACATTGGATAAGTAAAGGATTACCCTTTCAATTCCATGGGACGTTACCACCAACCCATGACTCAAGCATAAGATGCGGTTCCTAAATGGTGGGTTGATAAACCAGATCCACCAACAATGTTTAAACGCCGAAATCTCATTTTTCTGCATCCGTGATACCATTGTGCCATGCCACAAGTTCCCAATTGACTGCGAGCAGCAGCACTGTCGGAAAACCCATGTGTGTTTCTGAGCAGGTCTTGGACCTGGCATCTCTAGCTTCTCAATCAAGGTCTTAGACCAACCCACAGTGTCTGTGCGACGCCGGGACGAGTAGAAAATGTACAAATACATGTATTCTGTGTCATTCGTGCTCAGCCGGCAGACTAGCTCACATGTGTGTAACTAGTTACTTGAAGCTACAGGTATTATAGTTTTATTCAAGTCCGGGTACGAGAGCACATCATGTGACATGACCTTCCTGCTTTCATGCTAGTACCCTGTTTCTGTTCCAAGAAAAACAAACTTGCATGTCGAATGAGTACAAATACCCGGCAGCAAGCATGATTGTACCCATGATCATAATCAGTCTGGAATTGTAACGCAATAGGGTGGCACCGCACTGCAAAAGAGGCACCCTGGCACATTGCAGAGCTGTTCATGCTACGCACCATCAGCTCTGCAACCATCCATGAGCCCTGGCATAGCGTAAAGGCATGCATACACGTCAGCCCGGGATCTCAGCGTGCTGTGCTGTACCGTAACAGTATTACTCGTACTGACCTCTGGTTGTATGGCAAGCAGCTGTAGTCCGTCTACCAACTGGCTGAATCTAGGTCTCCATGCTGGCATCGCCTCCCAGCAACCCAGCACAAGACCAAACCTATCACGCATCACGACAGGAATAGCGAGCAAGAAAGTGATTTCAGTGAGACACACGGTCATTGGTGAAAAGTTATAGGAGACATGGTGGACGTGAGGTAGTATGGCTCTCTTGCATTTCCCCTTATTGAGACACAATAGGTTAACTACGAATGCCACTGATATACCTTTGATTGCTTCATTCCATGTGTCTATTTTCTCTACTAGACATTCATGTATAAAGAAAAAAAATAGGTGACATTCGCAGTGAACAGGATTCGAACCTGTGCGGGCAGAGCCCAATTGATTTCGAGTCAATCGCCTTAACCACTCGGCCACCACTGCAGATACAAAAATCAAGATCTTCCTTTCAATATTGAGGCGGCACTCTACGTTTTCGAAATGGATTTAGGTGCGTTTCTCACCAGCGGAACCTCACCATGACCAATAACTCTCTGAAATCACTAGAAGATGTCTTCAGATTGAAATCAGACCAGCAGCCGGAGAGAATACAAAGAAGTGATCGTATGTGAATCTTATGCACAGAGTATACAGCATTCCCCCACTAGTGGGCCCATTGTTATTAGGCTAGGGCCTGTTTTGGACTTCCCACTCTAAATAAAGAATACAAACAAACAAAACAATGTGATATCCTACCCAACCCCATCAGCTAGCATTATTAATTTTGCTGCTTACAGTTGTTCAGAGCAGTGATGTGGCTGCTCCATGCGCTTTCCTGCCTTTAGATACAGCAGCATGTTGTCCGGCCTTATTCCACTGTATGGAGCTCCACCTGTATAGGAAGACAACGGTTTGCAAGACACACGCAGGTTGGAACACTGGGCACAGGGGAATCTCAGTGACTTCTGAGCTGGCACAACAACAAGCCGGAATGCGGGTGTGAAGTATTATTGTACATGAACTGACACCGTATTCAATACAGCTATACAGCCTGGCAACCGCTGCCCCGGGGCAGTGTGTACATAAACCTCAATCAACCGAGTGCCAATATAGTACTGTGACATGTGCATGTACTGCAGTGTGGCCCAAGTGAAATCCAACCTGTCCTGTATAGACCAGCAATTCCACACGGTGTTGATGTGCACAGCTCAACATGTCTGCAGGGCTAGACTAGCTGTAGCGTATACGCAGGCAGGAGCCGGAAGTTCACTTTGTCCCGACTACAGAATCGAGATATTCATGGCACCCTCCCCCCCCCCCCCACACACACACCTGCCACCCCGTAATGCACAGTCTAGTACTACTAGTACTACTATTGATGTATTTGATGTAAACTGAAGTGTGTGCCTTACATACAAACCTACAAACCTACCCATGGTTATGATCTCCCATAACAGAACTCCAAAAGACCATCTGCACATACACAGGCAAGCATAACAGCTGCATGGTATTAGGCATAGCGGTATTGGCTGTTACGGCCGGTGCAAACACGCCTGCGCATATTTGATTGACTGCACATCCCATGCACATGCAATGAATGGATAAGAAATAATATTATATTATTCAATATCAGGGTACCAGTACCCAATGCATAGCTCAAGATGGGAACTGATTCGGGCATATACCGCAAATTATGCAGCAGCATAACTTAGCGGCACACGACCGCTGTAGCAGAGGAAAAGACTCGTCGGCTATCAGCACGGAAAACATGTTTACGTGGACCACGTCAGAGGACAGGAACTTGCTTCGGACTCTTCCTCGAAAAAAATATCAGACGTTTCCATGAATATTTTCACTGCTTTTTTTATCGCATAACGTTATATTTAAACACAGCCAGAAAAGACACCCAGAACAGGGTTATGTCCTTGCCAAAGACATTTCCTCTGCCGTATGTGATCAGAGGCTAGGGGGGGGGGGGGGGGAGGAGAATGGGAGAGTAAGGCACTGAAGGAAAGGAAGAAGAAAACACGTCTTCAAAGTACCACGCCAACAAACAAGTTTTGTTGATAATTGTGAACACGAAATGGTGGAGTGCTTCCCTTGGTTCACATGTCTATGGCCAATAGGCAAGAACATGTTTGCTCATGCTTCTGATACTTTTCATCGCTGAGTGTTTCCGACCGAGGTCTGTATCAGACTCATCCCTTAGCCAACCATCCTAGGTGCCATGGTCCCCTTTGAATATCAGTATGCTGTTGTCACTTGAATATTATGGTCACATCTTTCACAATCAGGACACGAGCATTGTGCATGATGCTTGTAAAATGTATATTCTGCGCAGCAGTACAGTGCTGAGTAGGATAGAATAGCTTACACATCTGATGCTGACGTGTGGTTATGCGTCGTCAGAGTTTCCAGCGAATTCCACTTTTCCGTTACTTGTTTCTGTAGGTACAGAATAACAAGGAGTGTGGCGATGATTAATCCTGGTGATGATCGAACAGCCCTCTAGTGACTTTACAGTCAGTCTGAACCTAATGCATACATGCATGAGCTGGGGGTCTTGACGCACTCTATGCCAGGAATGTGCTTTGGACAGAGCATAGGAACTGGTCAAATGCCCACAGTCCCACACACCACGCCGGGCACAGAAATACTGTCTTTCTATCTAGATCAGAATACCTACCAACAGCACAGGATATGCATACTATTACAATTTGGAGTACCCAACGGGTTATGTATGGATCACAATCTTTGGAGAAAAATCCAATCGGCACCCTTGCATGCATGTGATGTCACACCAACGGTCCACACGTCATCCATGCACGTGTTGTCAAACAACATACAGCTGTGCCAAGCCAACCGCAATGTACTTCTATTTTACTCTGAGCAATTATGATCATCGCCATTAGCTCTAGAAAGACGGTACCTTTCGATTGAGCAAGAACTTCGGTTCCTCTCCTCTGTTATACTTGAGTGCCAGGCGGCCCTCCACACAGCTGTTGAAGTTGCCGATCTTAGGTATCAGGTCCAGTGTGAGGAACACATTGCGTGCAGCTACGTCCCTATGCACCGTGTCCGTGCTTTCAAGATACGCCATACCTTTTGCAATCTAACCAAGTCATTAGAAAGTCAGAATGATCCGGGAAACAGCAGTGAGACGGACGAGCCGTAAAACAGAAATAAGCAACAAACACAGGGAAAGAGTAGAGAGGGGGATAGGGGAGGGGGAGGGAGAGAGAAAGAAAGAAAGAAAGAGAAAGAGAGAGAGACAGAGAGAGAGAGAGAGAGAGAGAGAGTGTGTGTGCGAGAGAGATTAGCAAGAAGAGTCAGATAATACTAAGAGAAAGTGCATTTCTGATGGGAAATGAGGACCACGAAGAATCCTAACGTGGGAGTCATCATTACTGCTCGGTGTAGTTTAGAGAAAGGAGCATTGTGTTGCAATGCCAGACTGCTTCAGGAAGGGAACTTTGCATACTGAAGCTTGCAAACCCTTTGACTATAATAACACCATCCTCAGAGTTATCGATGGAAGCATATGATAGAATGGCATAGTATTCCCCAATTTACAACTCAGTGCACCAAGTGAAGTACAGAATACTCCTTGAGTTGACTTCAATTGTTGCAATGGCCACAATAACATTATTTTTCTGTCGGCACAATTTCACATAAAGTCCCTCCTTTTCTATGCATCATGTCTTACCAGGGTGGCAAAGGTCAGAAGCTGTCCTCCCGTTAGAGGTGGGACATCATCATCCAGATTAGGTATTGCCCCTCGACTTGTCCTCATGTAGCGTAGAAGACTTCCGTTTGGTAAATATTCCATGACTAAGCATGGTGGAGCTAGAAACAACCAACGGTACAAACTGGCATACATGATGAGCTAGAAACAACCAACGGTACAAACTGGCATACATGATGAGCTAGAAACAACCAACGATACAAACTGGCATACATGATGAGCTAGAAACAACCAGCAGTACAAACCGTGGCATACATGATGAGCTAGAAACAACCAACAATACAAACTGGCATACATGATGAGGGTGAAACGAGCTGTGATCATACTTGACCTCCAGCGCACAATACACACGTCGGAGAGCTTTCAGGAATGCGGGAACAAAAGCTCTCTCGCAGAATATTCGAGATTCCTATAACTGTTTATGTTACTGAGTGTGTCATTGGTTGGGAAGGGTGTGAGAAGTCAGAGCAGAATACCAGTGACCGGGTAAGGAGGCATAAGTGTCATGTGAATTAACTGACCCGCACAAAGTGGAGGCTATCTTTGAAAGAGTAGGGAACGCTTTGTATTATTTCAAATCTATTTGTATTTGTAGTTGGTGTTTGCCTCGGCTTCCTCGCAAGTAGTGGCCTGATGGAGCCCAGTGGGCAAAATATTGGCAACATTTTAGCTGTTGTTGATGCAACTGAGACTCTGTGACAGAGTGCACACAGAAGGGAGGTGTTGTATAACATATTATGTCAAGTGGGGCAGACTCTAAAAGGTATTATCATTATTTAAAAATGTGTAGTGCCATATTTAAGAGAAATGACTTACAGCGCAGCATGCACGAGCCGACGATGCTGACTATGTTCGGATGTGGCCCAATGTCCTTGACTAGCTCGAGCTCACACCGGAGTAGTTTTGTGTAGCGTCTATGCACACCATCTGACAAGAAAGACAGGAAGAAACACACAGGGAGCTTTTTTTGTGAGTCTTTTGTACAATGTGTGTCACGGGTGAAAATAATGGTTTACCGATCTGCAAACACATACATGTATGCTAAAACACATACCGTAGAATCCCGCGGATAAGCCCATGGGCTTATCTGTTTCACAAGGACATTTCGGTGGGCTTATACGAGAACATGGGCTTATACGCGGGCATGGGCTTATACGCCGACACCAAGTTGTGCTATTGAAAAGTATCAAGGAAGTGAGAAGTACATTGCTGAAAACCACTGTGCAAACAAAAACAACCGATGATTGAGCTGAAATGTACGAAAACAAACGATAATAGAGAGGTTAAGTTTCACGTAAAAGTCTTACGTCCGTAAACTTTTACGTCAAAAAGTGAAAAAACTCACGTAAAATTTGACGTGTTTTACGTTTGTTTGTTTGTTTGTTTTTTATTATTTCAGTTCGTTGCCTCAACAGTACAAAGTACAAATATCAAGAGGGACGAACGAAAAGAGAAAATAAAACAGAGCAGAGAGGAAGATGCAACTGAAAGGCCGGAAAGGAAAACTGAGAGAAACGGAGAAGGAATGTGGACTGGGCGGATTCATGAACCATTACTAGAGAGAAACGGAGAAGGAATGTGGACTGGGCGGATTCATGAACCATTACTAGAGCAGGTCAATGCATGAACAGAAGGGGCAAGTCCGTCGATATTCATGTTTAAAAAATTCCAAGCCTTATATTGTTGGTGAAATACATTTTCAAAAAGGAGGGGATATAGGGATATAGTCAATTTGTCGTCATTTAGAGCGTGCAAAAGTTCTGTAGAAAATGATCTAATGTCCTCACTTCCTTTCAAGTGAGCACGTGAGTTGACTGTCCCGCACGTAAGTTCATGACGTGAGTTTTTGGAAGTTTCGCTTGGTTATTCCGGCCGAATTTGTGTGAGTTTCCGGAATTGTATCGAGTTTTATCGAGTTTGTTGGAAGATTTGACATTTGTGCGAACTAAACCCGAATCCTGCCAGGCAAAATTTCACGTCACGTCGCACGTGTAACTTAACCTCTAAAAATTACACGTAACGTGAGATTTGCACCGCGTTTTGAAAAAGGGCAAAAAACGTGTAACTTAACCTCTCAAATGTGCATGTACTACGTACATGGTATGGCCAAGAGTCCATAATTTATGGACTCTCGGTATGACCTAGGCCCATGGGCTTGTACTATGAAGCTTTGTGATGTTCGAACAAACCCTGGGCTTATGCGCGGGCATGGGCTTATACGCGGGTGGGCTTATCCGCGGGATTCTACGGTAGTAGTCTGCATTGCATGACACGTAATCTGCATTAGAACTGCTTCTACCTGGAAGAAGCACACTGATGCAACAACACATGCAGTCAGCCGTGGCCATCCCGATGTCTCAACAGCCTACTGCGCGTGTGCTCCTTCCCTTACCTTTGAGCATTTTCACGCACACCACTTGGGAGTCGTCGACACCGTTGATGCCCTCTCCCTCGGCCTTCATGATGCACGTGAAATTGCCCTCGTGCAGAATTTGCCCAATGACTAGGTTGTCCGAGGGAAACTCAAGCCACGAGTCGAGAAGCTCCCCGCTGTTCTCCGTACTCTGGTCGCTACTGCAAACAGAGACGGACGCTACGTGCTCCATGGCCTCATCCAGCGACCCATCGTGATAATCCGACGCTGGACTCTGGCCGGAACCCATGCTGATGTCCCATGCTGTATCGGAACGCTTCAGGCCCTGTGATCATAAAATAGATGCATACGACATGCAGCATTCAATTGATTGGGAAAGCGGAGTGCTGACAATAACCCATGCATCTACATCTATAAGCACAGCGTAAATCTGTATGGAGTAGCTCAACTCAATCAGCCCACATCCCTCGCAGCCTACTGCAAGCTCTGTTCTCTTCCTGTAGATGCCTTGAGGCTTCTTTCAGCTTCATCTCAGTAGGGAACAGAACTTGAACGGACCCTTCCAATCTCACCGGCAGTACTGCAAATCCTCGGATTTGCACTTGGATTTGCAGTGTTCTGGAGTCTTCCTAGATCGAGAATACAAAATATTGGGGTACCTAATGCAACGCAACATGTAAAAAAGAGGGATGATGTGAGAGGGTTTTAATGCGCTCAATTTATTTTAACTAGGTGTACATGCTTGCGCGGGCTTACCAACTCGTATCTTCCTTCAGCAGACTTCGTCTGCTCGTGGGCATCGTACAGTGCGTTCAGACGCCTTGCTCTCTGACCAGCTCCGTCATCCGGCGAGGACTTGCGGCGGTTTTTCACCCACTTCAGCATGGCAATATCGCTGGCAGGCAAGCAGGCTGCTGTGACCAGGTCAGTGATTCAAGCGCGAGAATCAGCCGACATACCTCATAGCAGATGGCCTTCTTATCCGTGACTGTGCTGGCATGGACACAGAGACACATAACTCAGGCACGTGCCCCGTATGGGTTCCTGGGTGCCCGGAACCCCCCTTTTTCGCTCGAATTGCAGGATTTTGCTTCATTTTTTGAAAATTTTCCCGGGGAGGCCCTTGAAGGGCACCGGCGCAAGCACCTGTAACTGTTAGGATAGCACAGACAGTTTGCTAACGGAGTACTAAAACATCGCCGGGCTCTTCACCGGCTTCACTACATTGTAGCTACATCAACAGTCAGTTGACTCGTACTGCACGGCCGTGCACCTCTTGAACCAAAGCGGCGCATGGCATTACGTGTGCCGCGCATGGCATTACGTGTGCCGCGCACTGCATGCTTGCATGTATGTACACGTTTTGCTTTCGCATTCCGCTTTCCTCTCTATCTTCATGAGCACCGTTTCACCTGACTCTCATACTACCTGCCTCGCATCAGTTTAGTGTCCGGCTAACATTACCGTAGTTAAAACACGCATTGCAACACCATTTCTGATGTTACGGCACTCCTCACACACGCTATTGTAGAAAGGCAACAGGTTAGTCTTTGCTCATCTTTCCTAAGCTGTGTTTGCATCCTAACACTCCTGCCAAACAGCACACGGCACAGATAACTACGGCAAACAACACGCTTCTTAACATACTCTTCGATTATACTCTTTCTGCGGGGAGTCTTTATCCCATAAAACCCGAACTCCCTTCTTTCTTCGGCATCTCACAATCTAGTCACAACTTTCTGTAGTCTGACTTTACATGTCGATCATCCCAACAGTTGAACACGTTACACGTGCTGTCATGTACGTCCCCACTTCATGTCTAATCTAGTGTCTTTGGCATCAGCATCGCTCTAACGTCCGCACGGCGTCATTGGTACTACGATGCGGCGTCACAGAGTGTCATAGTATACCATACAACAGTGGGACAAGGGTATTCAGAGTAGCGTTGACCATTGTGGTAACGTACCATACTATTGTGTACACAGAGACATACATGAACATGAACATGAACATGCTTGAAGTACATTGTACGTTTGGTAACAAAACAACACAAAACCTTCAACTATGCAGTCGGCAGTCAGCAGTCAAACAGCATGAGAAATTTTGCCTGACATACATGTACATTGCAGTGAAGTGCTGGCTGAACTCACACTCACAGCCAGTAAAATAGTGCCCATGTGCAGCATGGTACCTAGTACACAGATTAAAAATGCCTGACTGTATTCAAACAGCACACACTGATTAGCCTAATTAGTATCTAGCAGGTAAGGAATACACCTGCACCATAGGGACATCTGGATCCGGCACAAGGCATGGGAATACAATCAAGGCATACCAGAGATGCAAGGCATTTCAGATATTTACAGTCACGCTACACAATCATCTGTCGACTACTAGTACTACACTACACCACTCCTGCAGAAGATTTCAAGCTTGCCACGTATAGATCTAAGTGACAGATCACTGCAGTTCAGTGCAACATACAGCCCTAGCCCGGCTGAAAGTGGAAAGGCCGCAACAACTGTGCCAGTGTCTGCTGCAGTTGCAGTGGCCTGGCCTAAGTCCTAGTAATGGCAACTGCACAACCGCTGAAGCCACTGGCTCTGTTGCTACAGTACTGGACACGGTCAAGTACTGGGTGTGCTCTCAGAAATTAAAAAATAATGTGATTGGATTGATATGAACACAGCCAGTTTGTGCTGCATGCTGCTGCATTGGCTACCCTTATCTACTCTTTTATCTATCTAAAACGCCGCACACTACACTGCAAGCGCCAGGCACGTGAACTGTCCAGATATGCGCTGAATCGTACAGCGCGTGGTCAGCTGTTGCTTGTTTTTCTTCCCATTTCCTTGCCAATGTCAAATGTGTACCCTTCTCAGGCAGTGCTAGGTAAAACTGTGTTCCTCTCGCGTGCTATGGAAGTTTTATTTCGCTGTCTCTCTCTCTGTCAATAGACTACACAGGGTGAGATTCACCCTTTGTCACAAGTTTGTTTCACTTCTCCACGTCACCTTCTTGAGAGGGATTCGCATGATCATTCCCAGCAAAGCAACGTAACAAAGTTAGGAGGACCAGCCACAGAACGTCCATCAAATTTCAGGTGAAGCGTTCCCCATTCCGCGCGAAACACAAATTCACTAACCCAAAGCCAAAGCAATAATTAATTTTCTCTTTCATTACCTCGACACGGCCCTTGGCTCTCTGACCACAGAAATATTTTCTCAATGACATCCATGAAGAACCCAGCTACAGAGCACAACAGTACATGTAGTCGCTATCATCAACTTGCTTACCGAGCAGCCTGGAGCGTCGTGCGATGGCCTACAACAAGCCCGTTGAACAGTCGCCTCTGGGCGAAGAATGTGTGCACCTTTCGCCTCCCGAGGAGGAGCCCTGGCTCCGAGAATATCCAACACTGTATGTCACTGGCCCGATCCGGGTCGTTGGTTGTCTGCTGACACGACTCCGCAACAGGCAGGAGAGAAGAAACTAGGACTTGTAGGAGCTGATGACAGTGGTGTGCTCGTAAGCTTCCCTGTGCAGGATCTAGGAGTGTCCGCGCAACTAGAAACCATCCACGACTTCAGCAGACTGGCAAATCCACAATGAGCCGACAGCGTACACACCCTGCGGACTTGGATTGGCCGCGGAGGTCACGGTGAATAATGGCTGTTCCGTGTCCGCTTCCCCCCTCACAGATGTCCTACAGTTACGTGTGATGTTGCGAACTACTACTTACTAGATACAAGTCACACAGACCGCGATGGAAACACAAGACTACAACGTACAAGTCATGTAGATATTCACTACAAGACACACATAGGCTACGACTTACGAGCAGCGTGTAGATCTACCGCCGGCTATCTACCTGCGCTTCGATTACATCTACAACTTTTGCGGAACATTCACTTCAGTATCGACAATTTTCTCGTACAAGTGGATCGACGCTGCTGTCACTTGCAAACTCTGGCAGGTACCAGTAGGTAGTGATGGACGAGTGCGTCGAGTGCTAGAACTTGAATCACCGACCGACTGCTACTCCGAAGCATTACGTGTTGTCTATCAAAAGTATCGTCGAGAAAAGAATGAAGCAAGACCCAGAAGCCTCAAGAATTCTGCAGCCTAGCCGCCCTACTCCAGATTAGATTTTCTCTCATTAGATTTTATCAAAGCTACGGTTGTTGCAGTCAAAGCAAATGCTAGTCTTGCATCCATCTGAACTAGACTGAAGCCCATCGATACATCCAGCTCTGGCTGCTGTCTGGTTGACCGCGTTGTGGCGTTCAGCATCACCACGAAGCTGCTGCATAATTATCACTAACGTCGACAGCGACATCAGTCTCCAGCTTACCTAATCCTAGCCTTCCAGTACTCGGCAGTAGACCTACCACTACTGCACTAGTACCAGACTCCAGAGCACTGGAGCTCGAGTGTCAAAATGCTGGGGTGTTCTGTCTTGGATGATGGCTGTGGCTGTGGTAGCACCAGTACAAAAACATGATTGTGCACAATGGTCATGTAGTTGCAATGCTGTTGAATGTGGCTTGCCTGCGTTTGTCTCCAAGCCTGGTACATGTAGCACAGTACTAGTACCTGACTAAGTACAATACTGGTCGTAGACCTAGCAGAAGATCTACTGGACTCCCCTGTCAAGTATTCCTTGCAGGCCAGCCATTGCAGGCTCATAGAGGCACACAGTCAGTGCACAACTCAGCATGCGGTGAAGATGTCATATTTCGCCTGAGCTCAGCCACGAAACCTTCGTCAGCAGTCACTGCATTCAACTAACTGGTCTTCATCTTACACAAGTTAGTTGAAGTTACACTGCTACAGTTTGGAAAGTCATATGAAGAAGCTGGTGACTGAGGCAGTAACTGACGGGCTGTGTTCCCGTATGACGTATTCTCTCTGACAGTAGTGACAGATTCGTCAGTATTGCCGCTCGAGTGAAGGTACGTTGCATATGCTTCAAGCCCGTCATCGGATTGGTGATAGGTCCGCATTCGACAATCTCTCACAGTCGTCAGGCTCCTGGACAGTAGCAGCTGGGTGTGAGCTTGACAGTTAAGTTCAGGACGAGTACAGCACACGTCAGGACAATGTACCCATGGAAAGGCGATGACAAGACCACACATGAAGATTCGGCCGTACGTGGTAATACACTTTGATGATCTTCTAGCTAAAAGACGACACAGGTGTGGAACATTTCCCACACTGACTTAACCCTGGCCGCTGCCATCATGAACAAATCGGCTAGAAAGCTTAGAGGAGCAGGTTGGCCATCATTAGACTGCAGGTATTGAATGATCATCAGCTACTGTCCCTTGTAACCAGTATGAGTTGTTCCTCTGGTGCAACTCTCAGATTATGGTGTCATCTATGGTCGTGTTACTGAGTGCATGATGATGTCAACTTGAGCATGCTCTTTAAAAGTATCGGGCCTGTAGCTGTGTGGCCAGTCAGTTCAGTCAGTACTGGTACTAATAGTACAGTACTAGGAATTGTGCCGCATAACCTCCACGTGCAAGTAGCCATGCTAGTATAGCAACATGCCTGCTGGTATCTCCAATAACTGATATTCATCGACAAGTACTGACATCTAAGAGAGGCCCTTTGAAAGGTTTTGTGAGACCTAGAAGCAATCCTTCCATGCACCATGAAGTGATCTACGTGCAGAACAATCTGTCATGCGTTGTCCTATGTCCTACGGCGCTTTGCAGATGAAGTTCAGAGCCGACATGGTGCAAGTTCACTGCGATCAGGCATAACGATCAGGTAAAACTGGTGCAGAGAACGAGGTGCTTCCTTGCTAGACGATGGAAGTTATGTGATATTGGTAAGCTGTACATAGCTGCACATAGCGTCTCATGATGCCATTGTGTGATGGTGATAAGCTGCACATAGCGTATGCAGATGTGAGCTAGTGTGGGAGGTCCAGGTAAATGCACGGTACCAGCAACTGCAACTGGCGCTGAGACAGGTCAAATCCAGCTACACTGGGGCATAGTGCGTGGTCCAGCAGCGTGGAAGGGGAACGGCTTTATCTGGTGCGGATTCGCTTTACATGAACAGACTTGCTACTGCTGTACACCGGCCACCGTGGCTGATCCCTAACCGATCCCACTAAATTGCCTCCGCCGCTGTTGTTGCAGAGGGAGAGGTCAAGCTTGTACCCAGGGGTGTATCGACATTGACTTGAACGTAACCATCGTGACTCAGCTGCGGATTCGCCGCCGCTCCAAGCCACTACAGCCATTATATGTTCTGCAGCAGGCCTCATCTGCCATTATCTGAGGATATGTTGATCATGTGGCATTGTCCATCTTCGAGAGCTGGCATGGATCGATAGTTTTCGCTAAGCCGCGTATGTTTCCTTCCTACAAACATAAACAGATAGTTGCAGCCGGTAACAGATAGGAAGTGAAACTGCATGTGCTACACTGTACCCCAAGTGCTTGATGCTTCAATTAGCAGTGCTGCAATGGTTGACAAAGGAAAGACAGTAACGAGAACTAGGTCAGCCAGACTCTATCAACAACCGTGTGGCATCAAGTTTGAACTTCCTACCCGTTGACTGACCCACCTCTCCAAGCAGCGGAATTAAAAGGCGGCCGGGACAGTACTGATCATGTGCCCTTATTACCAAGAGTACATATTTTACAGGTTTAATGTACTCGTGATGCTACCAAACTGTACCCTGACCTCATGATCATGAGCGAGTGAAGCTGAATGTCTCGAGCTCGATGACATGAAACCGAGATGACTCGGACTTTGCACATCTCTATCTCTCTCAGTCTTCCTCTGCGCATCCAAGATGCCGCGGCTAGAGTTGTTAGCCAGTTAGTTGTAGAACGTCAGTACCGTCGGCCAGTGTCGTGTAATGTTATCGCATGAGGTGATTGTTTAGTAACTGGTGGTGTTAGGGGACATTATTGCATAACTTGTAGTTCCTTGGTCCTTTTTCTTTTCTATAAATTTATCTTTGGCTCTCATCCAAGTCCAAACTATTAGTCGTGTAAAATTGAATCCAAGCCGCATACATGCATGTAGATGCAAAGAATGATATTGATGAAGTGAGCACAATGAATGAGAAGTAAGACGTCACGAGATACTGACACCTACGGCTACGCATGTAAAAACAAAAAAACAAAAACATGTAGTGAGAGTTAATGCCGATATTATAAGTGAGATATAAAGGTAACTTGGGGCAATTTAAGTCGGCAGATGTCACTGTGTTGTATCAATGATTTTTTAAAGGACATGAGGACAAGGCGACGAGATATCGCGGCATACATTGTCGCGGCATTGTATTTCATTGCCATTTTGCACTCCGAGCGCAGTATTCCCAAGAGTATGACTGTACTCGAACTCTTGCCTATTGGCTTTAGTCTTGCCTTGATGTACTGTAGATCTACCCATGAACGTAACAACAAGACACTACAAATGTAAAATTTAATAATTTTAGTCATGTTGCTGATATCCACTGCACTGCCAGCTGGCGCATGGCCTCACCCAAAAAATGTGTAGCTGACACCCTACATGATTGTACTACTTGAGTACGCCGATACCTGGATACGGGAGGCTCACGTGGCCCCTAGCCTAGGCCCGAGGGCAGGGCTACATACATACAGATCTACCACAGCCTACAAAAAAGTACAGGGCGGATTATCATTCAAACACTGACTGACGAGCGTTTTGTGTGTTCAAAATCAAAGCAGCTGTAAGATCACTAAAATCTCTTCGACTGTTCAAGATCGAGAGATAATAATCAAAGCCATTGGTCAGAATTTAGCTACTGCAGCTAGTTGTAGTGAATATGGTGTCTCTGCTCAATCTGTGCACCACGTGCTGTGCTTTTCTTTTCCTCGCGTCGACTGTGGGCAGTGATCGTGTGTTCACTGAAGAAGAACTCGCAGAGTACGATGGATCAGACGTATGTACCCCACGTATAGATCCTCAAGCCAACTAACTGGTTGGACGTTTACTGGGATCATTTCTAATATTCATTTTAGTATGCAAGAGATCATAGCAAGCCTCTTTTGTAATACAGCACAAGAAGCACAGTTTTTTTTAAGAAGAGGATCCGGAAATAGAGAATGAATCAGTGAATGAATATATTCAAATGCAAATCATTTGGAGTCCATGCCAGAAAATTCCAGACATATCACTCCAAGTTGGTACCGCGCCGCGTTCATTGCGAAATGTGGTCGAAAACAGGGCTGGGTTGCGTAGCCTGGTCGCGTAATTTCAGTGATTTGTCGGGATTTTTTGGCGCCGACTGAACAGTTTTTTTTAATCAATACAAATAATGTTGGTGAATAGAGCTAGAGGTCGTAAATTTTAGGCTGCATTTCGAATTTCGATCGTGCAAGGAATCGGATCTGATGCGCCCAGCGCACCTCTACACTTACCGGTACATTATAATGATGTCCACCTGAGATCAAAAGGAAAAACTCAAATTACAATGTTGTATTTTTTCCAAAGAACGTTGAAAGGCCAAACCGCATGGTGAGGGCTAGACTCCTAGGTCCGTTCTTTAATCCTCTGCAAGACTCTGCAAGAAGTCGGAGAAGAGTAATTATGTCCTCTCTGAATTATGGGGGATTCTCCAAAGCTCACCAAGCTCTCTGAACTTTGGAGGTGGTTGAAACTTAGAGATTCCCACGCTTATGGACCTACGCGTGCGGATTACCGCAAAATACGGGTGTTTTTCGAGACATGGCCACAAAAACACGACCACAAAAAGATCATGCGGAAATAGTTGCTTTCTCTCATGGAAACCCTCAAAAATGACTAAAATTCCAGATTCGATCATGGGCAGCGTTTGATTGGACCTTGGTGGATCCAAAGGATCCACTCAATTGATCTGGATCCGGATCCAACCAATCGAACAAGCCCTTGGATAACTTTGACTCTACTTGTGCAATAGTCTGGTATCACATCTATCACGTGAACATGTTGGTTCCAACTGCGTCCACCCCTGGCCCCTGGGTAGGCCCAGACAGATCCTGCCGGCAATTCTTTCGGCAAAATATCGAAGAATTGAGAGAGCGGAAATTGCCGGTAAAATCGGAGCAAAATATCGAGATGTTGGGTAAAATTGATGCCTGATACTTGGATTTCCTTGTTTTTTACCCGTTCAGCAGGATACACTGCACTGCCCTACACTGTAGGACGAGATCATGTCACCGAAATATCACTGGGATTCACTGTGGATCGACTTGATTTTGGAAGAACCCAGGGACATGCGTGGAAACCAGTGTCGAGAAACCGACCCTGCGATTTTTATGAAACGAACGGGAAGTGGATAAAATACACGTTTTTCCGGAGCAAAATATCGAGGTTCTTGTGCCAGACTCGGCAAAATATCGAAGATTTCGCAGCAACATTTTGCGGCAAAATATCGAGGCGAGCGGAGCAGAATCTGTCTGGGCCTAGCCCTGGGTCTATGGGTCACATGATGTCGGCCATGTTGGTCCTACTGTCCACATGCCATGATCACTTTCTACCAGGGAGTCGGTATTTTTCGACTCCCTGCTTTCTACACAAATTTAGTCACATGATAAGGGGTCATCGGGCATTATCGATTACTATCACGGAACGAAAAGGTTTAGTTAACCCCCCAGCACCAAAAATATATTGACTTGACAGCTAGTAGAATGAATGGATTTTTCACCTATCGATCTTTTCAGAACAAAACTCTCCTTGACGCACCTACCCATAAGCGAATTTTTTTCGTGTTAGAGATCGACAATTATGGATGGCCCCTTAAGATGTGAAACCACTCTATACAAAGTGCGACTACGAATTGTATAGTGCGCCATAGTTGGCATGTGTGCAAACGTGCAATAATTGCACATTGCAACAAAAGGAATCCGAATATCCTGGAAAGGGGCACGCGCGGTGAAAGGGAGACACATTACGGGGTATGTACTCGTAGATGAGTATGCGGCGCTAATCCAGCACTGTATGGTAGACATGTGTGCAGAACATAGTTGCGTTACATACCAGTGTAAAACAATGTATTTCAAATCACATTGTTAATTTCTAGCGAATCCTTCAAACGAAGAGTTTATAACAAACCGCCACCAATCTTCTGCAGAAGAACAGTTGAAACTCAAGCCTTTTCTTGTGCACAGTGTATTTTGAAGGAAAGTGTACTATTTTCGAAGAAGAGTTAGCCATAACGTAGCGAACTGAACAGCAATGGTTGCGTTACACGCTACATCTGTCAAACATTTCATCTTAGGCGTGTAGGCTCTTTGCACGTCAGTATTGTACGGGTTCTATACAGTGTTAATATGCAAACTTCAACACAAGATTATGCCCAGGCGTTTAGCTTGCATGGGGCACTGGGGGGGGGGGGGGGGGGGGGGGGCATGTGCACCCCCTAAAACTATCGACTTAGGTTCAGCATGCACATATTGACCATGGATGACATGCACCAGCCATCCTACACATGCATTGTATGCGGCCGTGCACCCCCCTAAATTGGGACCTGCTGCGTCCATGGTGTCCAACCGTCACCCATTTCTGTTGGGATAACCTAGTGGTGGCGACTGCGGCGACGGCGGGGCGGGGATGTTGGTGGTGCACTATTTGTGCATTATCTCCTGCATACGGTCCATTTGTATGACCGTAGGTACTGTCCAGTAACGTTATGTGCTGAGCATGGTCCCTTCTGTGTGCATGATTTTACTGCCCTGTTTATGTGCCCGCGCAGCCAAGTAAGCCTATCTACCTCTCGATCAAGGGAGCTGTGTATGATGTGACTAAAGGAAAAGGTTAGTACTGGGTGCTGAATACGCTGCTTGTGCTTGGCATGCAATACTTCGAATGAGTGTGCTCTGTTAGTTTGTCTGGGCCGCCGGATAACATGCAATGGCCTGTACAATCTCTGGCATTGTCCCCGAAGACATGCTCTTGCAGATAGCTGTTGGCTCGAGCGTTGTCCTGTGTGCACGGCCTCTCTCGAACTGATTGCCTCGCCGTGTCCTTGCAAAGTTTCTCATTCTCATCCGAAGCTTTCTCATTTTGGTGCATGGGTAACTAGTAACTACACTGGAAAACTACAACAGTGTCAATGTCAGCCTTCACAATCTAAAATTTCCGATGCAAAAAGAAGAAAAAAGGGGGAGAAGAGTAGCCGAGAAGTGTAGTTTGGATAAGAAAAAAGTCCTGGAACGTTTGGTCTAAACCTAGTCAGAATCTACCTGATTGGTTAGCGCGACTGCAGACCCTGCCTCTTGCTGATAAACTACTGTAAATCAACGTATTTTCACTGATTTCGCTGCTTGGTCCCAACCGGCCAAAGTAAATCGCAGGCCAAAGTTTGTCATAGAGGCAAATGATGCATGATTTAGCCATGGATGCATGTGAGAGCAACAACAACTTCGAAGTACTGATCAATTTCTTTTTTGAAAACCCCAATCGGCCAGAGTTTTGATGGCGGCCAGAAGATTCATTTCGAGATCGGCCAAAGTTTCTCACCAGCCAATTTTTTTTGATTTACAATAGATGAATTCCTGACGAATGGATGAATTTCGGAAAGGCAAGCCAAGTAAAGTTTGGTGTAGTTGTCTTGACGGAAATGAAGCACTGACTGACCTGCATCAAGTGTGCATGCTCATGAAATTCCCACAGCGTGACATCCCCACACCCAAGCAGCCCACCATAACACGTGCAAAGTATAGTACTACTCAATGAAATCCAGTGGTCCAGCAAGTACATGCCTCGCGTTGCGCAGCCGTAGACCTGCGAACACTGGGCTGCGAAATGGTGCAAGGCGCAAACTTGAGTGACGCGACTGGATTTCATTGAGCAGCACTGTTTCTGCTGAAAAAGAACGGCATCTTGCGTTTCTCTTGTTGCATCAAGCCAGTGAGAACCAGATCAGTTATGGTGTCTTCAGTGCTGCTGCTGCTGCTGCTGCTGCTGCTGCTGTTATCGTTCTCATTTTGACCTTAGACTTCTACGGCAAGGATGCGGCGTACAATGCATTGGTAGGACGGGACAGCACCGTTTCAATTGCCAGAATGTCCCTCGAGCCTGCAGACCTGGCCCTAAAGCATGACATTGTGAGTAGCTATCGTTTTGGAGAAGTTTAGCTTCTGTGGTGCCTTTTTCTGTGAGGTAAAAGCACATACGGTAGTGTCTTGTATTAAAGCCTATCTCGAATAGAAGCCTATTTTGAAAACAAGCCTAATTTTTAAGATACTTTGTCGGCACATACGCCTGGTTTTAGTGTTGACACGCATAGAAATACCTGGTTTGTATAGAAGCCTGATGTGAATAGAAGCCTAGCCCTGACATCGGCTTCTACAGGAATAAGCCCGGCTTTAATACGCGACATTATGGTATGTACTTGTAGATGAACAGAAGAGTCATTCGCCCTCTTTGCGATGCGCTAATACATAACTTGAGTTACTGTGGAAATTTTAGAACCGTAGGCCTGATATCAGTGAACTTCTCCATGCAATGCTGTTCTCTTGGCTGATACACTCCACTTGCACACCACCACTATTGTGAAGCCTTATTCCGCACCGAGACATGGGTATTAAATGGGAAGTACAGTCAACTTTGCGAATAACGACATTCGGCGGGGCATCAGAAAAGTGTCCTTATTCGCGAAGTGTCTTTATACACAAAGTCCCATTTAAATGTATGTGAACCCATATTTTTGTATAGTATGACATGCATATCAAAATGAAGCTCTTTTCATGCTCTATGCAAATGTGTACTTTATTTTCATATTACAATTGAAAGGAACTATAAAGTCAATGTGGAGGGGAAATAGATTGAAAAATTAGCCTTTTGGAGCCATCAACAGGGACATGTACAATCATGTACTAGTACATGTACATGTGCATGTATGATGATTAGTGTACAATCATATACAACTACATGTAGTTGTGCTGAACACTCCAACTATTTAGAAGCAATATAAAATATAAATGCCCCCCCCCCCCCCCCCTTGGCTACATCTTCTTGACCGTGTGCCTTTATCCATCTCATGGGTTCTGGCACTTCTGAATGACAGGTACTTGAAATAGCTGTCAAAAGCCCAGAAAGTCGTTATTCAAGCAGTGAATATGACCTCGGGGCACTAAAAGCATGTCGCTATTCGCGAATTGTCGTTATTCAAATAGTCGTTGTATCCGAAGTTAAATGTATACAGTTAGATGGGACTTTGCTCTGGGCATGGAAATTCTGTCGTTATTCGCGAATTGTCGTTATATCCGCAGTCGTTATAAGCGAAGTTGACTGTATACCCTAAAATCAAATTTTCACCAGTTGTAGTCTTCGGGGTGCTGAGTCGAATGGTCTTGGTCCGAGGAAGCTGAGACGCTCCCTTCCTCCTTTATTCCCAATCGAACTCTGCGCACTTCCACCGAAACTGGGTGACTGCGCCCTACTAGATGGGGATTTGTATGCAAAATGTCACTAAAAGCGCCATTTCGTTCTTATAAAAGTACGGATGACCGCCATTGGCCCATATGTTGTAGTCTTTTGGACGCTGAGTCGACTGGTTTTGGTCCGAAAAGGCTGCGATGCAGCGTTCCTCCTTTATTCCCAATCGAACATGGTTGAACAAGCGGTCACGTGCTCCTGCGTACACCAGTCACCTGGTCACCGTGCCTGCAGGGTACAACTTACTAGCCTGTTTGACCTTTTTTGGGTGCAGTCCTGTCACTCGAGTTGAACCTTGGTGTGAAAGTTGTCGCCTGCTGGCGCGGTGACCAGGTGATTTGGGCACCCAGGAGCACGTGACCGCTTGTTCAACCATGTTCGATTGGGAATAAAGTAGGAGCGCTGCATTGCAGCCTTTTCGGACCAAAACCAGTCGACTCAGCGTCCAAAAGACTACAACATATGGGCCAATCGCGATCATACGTGCTTTTATAAGAACGACATAGCACTTTTAGTGAGATTTTGCATACAAATCCCCATCTAGCAGGGCGCAGTCACCCAGTTTCGGTGGAAGTGCGCGGGTTCGATTGGGAAAAAAGAAGGAAGGGAGCGTCGCAGCTTCCTCGGACCAAGACCATTCGACTCAGCACCCAGAAGACTACAACTGGTTAAAATTTGATTTTAGGGTATACTTCCCCTTTAATGCATCCTCCAGACAGCTGTTTAGGTCTATCAGAGCTGATCTGCAGAGATAGTCTGTCGATGTCTAAGATTTTCTTGTATTCTTTCCGCTGAAAATGATTGATTTGAGTTTGCAGAAATCAGCAGAACTCAGTCTCTTCTGAAATATCCAGAATTGGGGTTTGCTGAACACGATGCCATTCTTTGTTGACTTGCTGTATTCTGAAGTTTCACCTGTCGGGGTGTTTTCTGACCGTGTCGCGACTGTGTCTTCCTCTGTCCTCACAGAGTGTACTCTCGTCATCTGAACTGGAAGCCCTGGAGAGCGTAATAACCAGCACATATGTACCAAAATACCCCGTTGTTGGCCGGCTAGACGTTGCCGCTGCTGAGTCGGCGGATAGCCGCCGCACTGACCTCTAGAAATGCTGCTGATTTTAAAATTAATTATCATGTGCTCTGCTTCGCTGAATAATGCTGATGGTTAATTTCCGTGGCATCCGCTTGCCCTGTTGAACTCTGGCACCCAACCCAAGCCCCGTGTCCATGGTGTCCTTAGGTTTCCAATGCTGCGCTCTACGGTGTAGTGCGCACTAGACTATTAGTGATGTTCTTCTCGCATTGACTTTAACTGGTACACGAGTGTGCGGTGTTCCTTATAATAATTCCTATTTTTACACATATTTTATACTTGTCCTTGAACCTCTATAGCTCTCCTGGATATAGCACCGGTTTAATACAAGAAGAAAACATGACTTCAGTCGATTTTCATAATATGGTGTGACCATCAGTTTGTTACTTGCGGTGTGCTGGCAGATGTGCTGGCAGATGCTCTGATCTGCGCCAATGCTGTGTATGATCAATGACGTGCATGAGTACACTATATGAGTTGAGCAGGGCCTGGTGTCTGGCGATGTAAGGACATCTGTGCACATGTGCCACTGCTTGGGCCTTGGGCTTCTGCTGATCAATAGTGCATAAACTGCTGGTTTATGCACTCTTGCTGCAGGTTTGTGTACATTGTATTTGTGAAGTAACTTAGTTGTGGAGTTGTAGTCTAGATCTAGATTGTATACTGTAAGTATGACTGGTATTAAATTTTATTTTGACAATGCACATGTAAGTGTATGGTGTACACGGTGTATGACTGGATAGAAGAATCTACTGTGACGTTGTAGCTGAACTACAAGTAGAACATTTTCATTTTGATATCATCGTTTCATCCCTTGTGTTTTTCGGTGTTCTTCCTTCTTTCCATGTCGTATTGTTTGAATAAACTTGTTTAGACAAGTAGAACTAGAACAGTAGAAATACTAAAACGATTGCACGATGTGTGCATGTGACAGCGTCAGACTCAGTGGGCCTGTCTGTGTGTCACCAATAGTAAAATTAGTACAATCATTCTGATACCTACTTGTACTAGTCTTGTACTAAGTTGTAGCACATCTGTTGTGTGCATACCAGCTGTGTGCGCTGTATGCATGTGGGCAAGTAGGCGATCCGCGCCGCATTGACATACAGTGCTGGCAACTGAAATCCGACCCCCTTGGCGCCGCGCCGCGCCGCCAAGGGGGTCGGATTTCAGTTGCCAGCACTGTACATAACAATCATTATTACGCGGTACGGTAGTGGATAAAAAAATGTATGTTTTTCTTCTTTTAGCAGATTCGACTGTCTTTCAATGACTTCTTGGTGGTTTGCAATTAATTTGATCATGGCGGAAATTTCTTTACGAAGATTTGTTGGAATACTCCTAGTGGTGTGGATCGCTACCTACCGTGTTGTGTCCACAGCTAGTAATGAAGTACTGGTTACAGTAAAGCACGCTTCAGTAGGCGAGCACGGTTTCATTGTAGCTCGCGATAACGTCCTATCCTCCGAAAACATTCAAGATTTGCGTGCACTCGTTCTAAAACATTCCGTGTGGCGCTATGTGGGTAGACCAGCAGCAGCAACACCAGCAGACAATGCGGATCTGCTCGGAAATAGTGGATACGAGAAATCTGGCTGGCCATGGCTGGCTTACATGAATGTCTCGTTGTTCAAGAACTCTGCGGTAGGAGGGAAATTGCTAGCTACGGTCGAGGAGCTAGGCAATACGAATACGGCAGAAGGTGGCAAGTTTGATGTGGAAGATGCGACGGCCTATCTGATACGCCGTGGGGACGACTCACGAATGACCAGCGGTAGTGCTGCAGGTTTAGCGGCTGACGATGGCCAGAGGCGGTCAGTAAATGTTCATGTGGAGTTGACGTCTGGACCGTGGAAGAAGAACGACTACGGCGAAACAGTATTCTACTCGCCGCATGTGGATGACGTCACCGGTATGAATGAAGTTCAGGAGGCGGTGCACCTGAAGCCGGGTCGGGTGATGGCATGGACGGATGGCATTCCATTCACTCTGCGTCCACCGTCCATGAACAAGCCACAGTGGCGCTGCGGGCTTCTCGTTCGCTACTCCACCAGTGCCGATCTGGCACGGGAAGCTGTGTCTAGATATGAGGTAAGCGCTCACAACAGCTATGCCGGGAAAACTAAACTTGCATGACGGCTATACCGGGGAGACGATCTCGCACAAAGCTATCGGAGAGACGATCTTGCACAAACCTATCCTGGGGAGACAATCTTGCACAAAGCTATGCCTGCCCTAAGTATGGAGTGTCTGAGGGTAAAACTCACATCCCATGAAACACCCACATATTCCGCAAAGTACCGCGAGAGCGCCCCACCTTGATTTCACAACCAAGGGAAGGAAAACTGAATGGCAGAGTGCTACTACGTGTGTACGGTGTGAGAACCTTTGTGTGCTAAGGTCACACTTGGCACGTTTTGCGTGGAGCCCACATGTCCTGTGTACAGTGGCGATGCAGTCTGGATATCTGCCAGAGGTGTTATTGTCCTCATTCTTTCAGGCAGTGTGTTTTGCAGTTTTTACTTCTTCCCAGCATGCTGCGCAAGTATTCTGGATGCATGCAATGAAAACATTGCACCATGTACTTGAGAGTTTCGTCGTCATCGTCCACCTACATTGTATAGCCATCCCTGACGCCGGCTCCTGAGGGGTGATACGGCCCAGGTCGGCTTCAGGGCCGATTGTCCCCCCCCCCCCCCCATGCCCAATTTCATTGTCATGGGAGGATTTATCTCTAGCTCTATGATGCATCATACCTACTGTACTTGTTTCAGGTACACAACCTGAATCCAGCCACAGATATACAGTTAGCACAGTAGACGTCACCATGCTCACTGGACTGCAAGAACAGTCAAGGGCTGGAGGAAGAGAATGTAGCGAGGAGTGTACGAGGGCCATGCAACATTATTTCTATAAAAGCACTTCAGAAGTATTACATTAATTGTATTGCTTTGAGATGGCGATGCAGCGTGGCAGCGCTCTGTTGGGCTACTCGACACAGTCACATGGTGTGAAGTATTCACGGTAGAGTCAGACCTCGCTTAACCGCACCCATCCGTTTTCCACGAAAAATATCTGGATAGGCGAGGGAATCGGATGATCGAACACACATGCTGTATGTATGGATGACATGTGCTGTAAATCGGTAACCAACGATTTTCTTCCGGATGGTGAGGGATCCGGATAAAAGAGGACCGGGTAAGCGAAGTCTGACTGTATTGCAGAGAATGATCACTTGCATATTGTTGTTGTACGGTGTACTTCTGCTGCTCATGTTTGTATCCAGCAAATCTCCAAAGCCATCGAGGAGGAGCAGAGGCAAGAGTTTCCACCGGCCTTGCACCCTGGGGACTCAACTATCCCAAGCACTGGTGCCCTGGAAAAGAAGTTGACGCGCACGTTTCAGGACAGCGACGGCAAGACCATTGCCGTGTTCGATAGCGTCTGGAGTGCCGAGCAGATGGAGGAGCTGCGCAGGTACCTGCTGTCTGCGCATGCCAGGTACCGTCCGCGCCTCGACTTCTCTGATCCGGACGAGATGAAGGACAATGCCCGTTGGTCGGCTGAGTTTGAGGTGAGGAATGTACCGAACTAACTACTACACACACCCAGTCTAGTGAAGTCTGATGCCTGGTGTCCGATTATCCCGGTCTGGTTTTATAGCAATGCATAGGGCCGAGCAGCAATGATACTATGTTGTGATCTCTCGGGATATACAGCTCAGCAGTGCTCAGCGCATGAGATATTGAGCTATGGAGCTGACACTACTTTTCCTCAACCAGTTTGTGAAGCATCGGTGACTCGATACGTATACCTGTGTGTCTGATACGCATGGAGTGAGACCTCCACAGCTTGGACTCTTCCCTTTGCTACAGACCCTGACTTTCAATGCATTGCCAGGGAGCACATGCTAGTCAGCACTGGCCGAGATCTGACCCCAGCGCTTTTCTCTCTTGCTTTCAGATTGGCAGCCTGGTGAAAAGCCAGTACTGGGCAGTCATGCAGAAGCTGGTGACATTGGTGTCGAAGACGTCGGGTTGGTATCCGGTGGGTGTCGGTCTGACCGCAACGCACAGCGCCGACGACGTTCATATCCACCGTAATTGCCATGTGGATGAGGTGAGCGAGTTTGTTTTGCCATTGCTATTCACTCAGCACAGTACAGCAGTTACATGATGGGTGGCCTCTCTGTCTTTCGAATGTTCTTCCCGCTATTTCTGTCTGCAGAACGAGTATACATTGCAGATGTACCTCGGAAATGACTATCCCGACGCAATACACGGTGAAACCATGTTTTATGAGCCCATGGCACTGCCATCTCGACAGCAACGTGTGCGCAGGTTCGGGGAAGAAGGCTACGAAATGGATGGCCCAGACGAAGACGAACCGGAGGAGCTAGATGAAGACGAGATGGGACCTGGTTCCGATGGTGCAATGGCCGGTCGCAGCTCAAAGGCAAGAGTCAACTATGACGTCATTGGCGGGGTTCGACCCCGCGCTGGACGGATCTTGCTATTCCACAGCTCTATTCTGCATTCGGGCAGGCCGCTACGAGCTGATAATCGCACTATTCACTACATCCTTACCGTGAAAATGGCCAGGACTGAGCAGATTGGGAAAGCGAAGACATTACATGCGGTAAGAGACGATAATGGGTGGCAAGTGGTACAGCCAGAGACTGTAGAGTTGAACGCACCACATGAATTTGGAGTGTGATCACAGGGTTTAATGCAATCAGGAGTCACAGCAGACCGTTATCTTCTTATGGACCCGGTCCGGGGATGGCCGGACCTTAGTTTGAAAAAGTTGACCCACCCAATTTGTGCAAATGGGGTTGTTCGTGAATAAAGTTCATTTCCGGTCAAATATCCCATTTGGCCGGACCACTTGAAATTCCAATGCTATACGGCCCTGTGTGTAGTTTTCCAACGGAACTCATGCGTGGTCGGGCGCAGTGTGTGTGGTGGCCTTTGGTGGTAGGGAGGTACCGGCCATGAGGATTCTGTTAATTAAGGCAACATGGGTGCAAAACTTGGCATCACTGTTTACAGTTTGTGTGCACTCAGACTGTACTACACCCCCCCCCCCCCCCGATGTGCATGCGTTCCTTCACCCGCTCACAGTGTTGTGTACAATGTACACTGCATGTGCTTATGTTCAGATGACTCCCGGCACGGAGGCACTCGCCGAGACCTTGCACAGTGGTCTACAGGCGGCAGGAAAGGAAGCTGCCAATGATGGTGACTACGTGAGTAAACATCTGGCCAGTGCGGAGGAATTGGGCAAGCTGATTGAAGCTAGGGAATCCGAACTGGCCGCATCTAACGAGAAAGCTGTCCAGGATCTCCACGGAAGGCTATGAATGCTGCCGCACGTATCATCGACTTGCCTGCTTGGACGTGGAGTAATCGATGCGGGTGTCTCCATTGCTACCTTTGTAACCATGGTAACCGACCGGCTTGATGTATACTCCTGATCTCACTTACTGTAAAAGCCATTATTCTAACAAGGCGCATATATAACGATTTCCCAAAATTGACCAGTTTACGTGTGCCAAAGATAACGATTCTCACTCATTCTCAACGCTCAATAGCAACAGTATCGTATTTCTCCTCGTTAACTCGTTAGAATTAGCACTTCGTTATATATACATGTATGGCTTTTACGGTAGCTAGATTATCTCTATCTTATCAGCACGTGTTATGCCTCGTGAAGAGGCTGCAGACTCCCAACAACATACATAGTCATTCGATCACTCTTGATTGGTAGCCCTATGCGAAGTACATTGAAATGGAATATTGTCCTATCCACCATAATATTTTGCACAGAGTATTCGTAAAAAAATTATATCCAATTCTTGCTCTCGCACATGATTCGTTACAGAAACAAAGGAAGGAAATCGGCTTTAGTATTCAGTATTATAACAATGTCATTAGTATATGCTTCGGAGTGCAGCCAGGCACATCTCATTCAGGATAATAATAGAAATAGTTGTGCTTGGATATCGTTCACGATACTGTGGTTCGAACCAGGGGATCCATGGCTAAGCATACTTTGAAATGGTTTGTGGGTGGCACGAAGGACAAATGGGAGGAGGGGGGATCCATGGCTAAGCATACTTTGAAATGGTTTGTGGGTGGCACGAAGGACAGATGGGAGGAGGGGGGATCCATGGCTAAGCATACTTTGAAATGGTTTGTGGGTAGCACGAAGGACGGATGGGAGGAGGTGATGGCAAGCGGAAAATACAGGGTATGCGATCAAAGGCTGGTATTGATCTTGATGCAAGAAGCTGCAATGGTGTAATTAGAATTAGAAAGGGCAATTTCCAGACCTAAAAAATAGCAAGAGACTATTGTCTAGTACTTTTCAATCAACCTTGACTGGTATTCATCCCATCGGCTGTGACTGGCGGAGATATTCAACTGGGAAAGAGCCTGGCAGATGGGCCATTGGAACACCTGAACACTGTGGCCAGCCATTGGAGCACCTAAACACTGTAGCCATGTGGCGGACTTGCACTGTCTGTGCGTGTTAACAGGGGCACATCTCCTCCAAACTGTTGAGAAGTCCTGTGAAGGGTAGAATGAGGAGAACAGCAAAAAAAAACACTATGAGTCATGGCTTCCTCTCCATTACCTCCCTCAGTACCGGTACAAGCTCATGTACTTCATCATGGTGATTCCTGGCAGGTGCATTAGAGGGAATCCCCATCCCCATATCAGCAGGAAATACAGTACTCTTACTGACATTACACGACTGCCGGGTATTGGTGTCAGGTATACACGCTATCCCTCCCCCCTACCCCCCACCCAGTACATGGCCCGCGTAGAGCCAGCCTTGGGCACTTCGGCACTGGCTGTCCCAACGCTAACGTCGTATCCCTCACCTTCTGTACATGCCACCGCTACTGCCAATGGTGACTGCACCATCAGTCCCGGTTGACGCGCTGTTGGGTAGATCTGAGCACACCGGGAGAAAAGGGCAACACAGACATGGATGTTGTTAATCGAATTACCTGGCGCCAGCCTTACAGGCCATATTCGCAGTGAGCCACTCACTTCAATCGAGTCCATTATCACCACACATATAATACACTCTTTCTGACCCACAAGTCTGTACATCATGCAGAACTTACAAGGAGGCATATCCGAAAGGAACTTGATTTCTCTGAGTCAGTGAGTGAAGGAGAGAGAGAGAGAGAGAGAGAGAGAGAGAGAGAGAGAGCGGGGGGGGGGGGAGGGGGAGGGAGGGAGGGACTCAGGGAAAGAGAGGGAGAGAGAGAATTAGATCCAGTCATATGGTGCTGTAGGTACTGACCCTTTTCATACAAGATCTTGATTCTTTCCTCCTCTTTCTTCTTCGCCACTGCGTTGGAATACCGCACAACAACAGTCATCACCAGTATCACACCTAGTATTCCCAATGATGGCCACAGTGCACCCAGTGGATCTGAAACATCAAAGGAACAGAGAGGGTTACACACACGCGCGCGTGCGTACACACACACACACACACACACACATACACACACATATGCACGCACACACACACACACACAAACACACATACATGCCCGCAGAGAGAATTACTAGTATTATAATCATAATTTCTTAATGTGCGCAAGCTCCACTGCAGCCACTTCATTGAATGGAAAATCCTGATGATGGCTCCTGGCCGAATATTTGATTGAGAATTATTGTAATTTGCAACGAAGAGACCACTTGGATTGAAGATGGTGTGTGTGTAAGGTTTTCCATTTTATAATCATCGTTGTTCACCTAAACAACTTGAGCAGATACGAGTACTAGCCATTTTGGCAACCGTGCACGCACTACAACCCTGTTCCGAAAAGTAAGCGCCTGGCATGCAGTGGCACTTGCAGCCGCGGCGATTGCTTTGTAAGCGCCTGGCATGCAGTGGCACTTGCAGCCGGCGCGGCGATTGCTTTGTAAGCGCCTGGCATGCAGTGGCACTTGCAGCCGGCGCGGCGATTGCTTTGCACTACTGACTACTCACGTTCTACTGTGGAACTGAGTACACTGTAGTCCTCAGAGGGAAGGTTTGCAGCTTGCACTTTTACAGACTCTACTACTCACACAGTCATGTGACTCGAGTCGGTTTTGCACTGTTATCATCCTCATATCTATACCAGCACAGTGCACAGAGCTCACTCTACGGACTGACGGGCAGCTTAGGGGTCACGGTAGGACATGCCATGGTCACTACGGCAGTGTCCGTTCCACTTTCTCCCCGGGTACCTCATGACCTAATGATATAAATAAGGACTTAGTCGGAGGGTAACTTATAAGCACACGAAAAGACGAAGTCAGTTGTGAACCTGATGAGGCCTTTCGGACCATTACTTCTCAAATCAGTACATGGTGATAATGTGATGAAGCACAATGACCTTCTCTTCATGCGCTAGTTAATGATATGCAATCGGATATGCCCCATGACCCCCCCCCCCCCCCCCCCTCCAGGGATGCACATTGTACTCACAGTGCTAGTATGTTGTATCATCGTCCCAAAGGTTGTGAAGTACTCTACGCCGCAGTTTCCCTGCACCTCCCAAGGTTTTAAAACTCCACTAGCCTAGAATACCTTCAACACGTCCCTATAGCTACGCGATAAACCACAATCATGCAAACTTCTCTTACCTCGTACCCGGACCAGTGCCCCGGTGCTCTCCACTTCGCCTAGTGGGCCTGAGCTGCTGTTCGCCTCTCCGTAATTCTGACCGACGCACGTGAACATGCCATCGGAGCGATCTGAGTATCGAGCATCCTCGATTGATAGCGTGCTTTTTGTTGCCCGTTCCGTCCTGAATGCAGTCCATGCCCATGCACAGCAGAACAGTTACATGATTCAAACTCAAGCAATGTGTGTGTGTACGCGTGTGTGTGTGTGTACGCACGTGTGTGTGTGTGTGTGTGCAGTGTGTGTGTGTGTACGTGTGTGTGTGTGTGTACATGTGTGTGTGTACGTGTGTGTGTGTGTGTGTGTGTGTGCGCGCGCGCGCGCGCGTGTGTGTGTGTGTGTGTATGTGGTGTGGCCAGCTAGTTGGGTTGGCGGGTAGAAGAGACGGTTTCAAATAGGACATAGGTTGAAAACAGAGCCGGGCTCAATATTCCCTTTCTCTCTTGGTATTAGATTAGAAACATATGTCACAGTGAGACTACGATGTGTTTTACTCCGAGCCAAATTATCATGGCTCTGCGATGACCAGAAGTGCCATACTAGGCAGATGAGTTTTTGACGTGCTGCTTCGCATTGCAACATGAGTTAGATGTCTTTCGAAATATCAACAATGGCTCAACTGATTTCGAGTGAACGTAGCGTCCAACACACCTTAGGCTTTATCTACTCCTCAACTAGTCAAAAGCTGGAAATACCGGGATGAACAGAAGAGTCAAGACACAAAGAAACATCAATCGTTGCCGCGAAGATGGAGATCGCTGGTATCTCCACCACTAATTTCCCTGCGGTTTTGCCACGCAGCTGCTTCTTCCTCGCTGCTCGCTTGGCGCAGGCGTGCTCAGGTCTCCAATATTTCAGTGTGTACATCTCTTGGTCCGCACCAAAAGGCTGGCATACCGTGCTATTGTCCTTCCTGCTCTTCTCTGCGGTGCGGAGACATGGCCCATCAAGGCGGGTCATATTCACCGACTCAACACCTTTCACCATCAGTGTATTTGCACAATTCTCGGCATCTCTCGTCGTGAGCAATGGGAGGAGAGATTGTCGTCGGCCTCACTGAGCGAGCTGGCAGGGGTAGACGTCGACATGGCCGATGTGATCAGGAAGCACTGCTTGCGGTGGCTTGGTCATGTTACACAGATGAAGGAGACCCGGCTGCCCCAAGCAGATGCTGTTTGGTGAACTGTCCTGCAAGCGCCCGCAACATGGTCCCAAGAAGCGCTGGCCGGATGTTGTGTCTGCGGACTTTACTGTCATCGGTTTACCTGAAGCGGACTGGTATGACACAGTGCAGAACAGATCCACCTGGTTTCAGTGTTGTCGACAGAGGGACGGCAAGGTAGACCCAGACATCCTGTACCCCAACTGAGAGTGAAATGGCCGATGAGGATTGATCTTCAGGACGATTCCAGCGCCGGAGCGCTGTCGCTGGGCTGCTGCACTGGCATTGTCGTGTGTGTTGACTTGAGTTTGAGCTCAAACTGTTCCCCTTGCCAAGATCTTTCCAGGGAGTCCAATATCAAAAAATCGATTAAGGTAAACTAAGTTATGACTCGTTGTGTGTCCACATTTCAGAAAATCGCCGCAAATTTTATTCTGTGATGTGATTAATCGGCCGGTAAACGGTTAAAGGATCTTCTTGTTAAACCTTTGCTGGTACAGTGAGACCTCGCTTAACCGCACACATCTGTTTTCCACAAAAAATATCCGGATATGCGAGGGAACCGGATAATCAAACACTCGTACTGTATGTATGTATGATATACATGTATGCTGTAATTCCCTGTAAATCGGTAACCAATGATTTTCTTCCGGATGGCGATGGATTCGGATAAAAGAGGACCGGATAAGCGAGGTCTGACTGTACATCACCGTAGTGATAAGAAAGCGTTTGCTGCAACAAATTTAAAGGGGAAGTTAAGGCAAAAATCAAAATTTCACCAGTTGTAGTCTTCGGGGTGCTGAGTCGAATGGTCTTGGTCCGAGGAAGCTGAGACGCTCCCTTCCTACTTTAATCCCAATCGACCTCGCGCACTTCCACCGAAACTGGGTGACTGCGCCCAACTAGATGGGGATTTGTATGCAAAATGTCACTAAAAGCGCCATTTCGTTCTTATAAAAGCACGGATGACCGCGATTGGCCCATATGTTGTAGTCTTTTGGACGCTGAGTCGACTGGTTTTGGTCCGAAAAGGCTGCGATGCAGCGTTCGGCCCTTATTCCCAATCGAACATGCTTGAACAAGCGGTCACGTGCTCCTGCGTACACCAGTCACCTGTTCACCGTGCCTGCAGGGTACAACTTACTAGCCTGTTTGACCTTTTTTGGGTGCAGTCCTGTCACTCGAGTCTACCTCGAGTTGAACCTTGGTGTGAAAGTTGTCGCCTGCTGGCACGGTGACCAGGTGATTTGGGCCCCCAGGAGCACGTGACCGCTTGTTCAACCATGTTCGATTGGGAATAAAGGAGGAGCGCTGCATCGCAGCCTTTTCGGACCAAAACCAGTCGACTCAGCGTCCAAAAGGCTACAACATATGGGCCAATCGCGGTCATCCGTGCTTTTATAAGAACGAAATGGCGCATTTAGTGACATTTTGCATACAAATCCCCATCTAGTAGGGCGCAGTCGCCCAGTTTCGGTGGAAGTGCGCAAGTTCGATTGGGATCAAAGTAGGAAGGGAGAGTCTCAGCTTCCTCGGACCACGACCATTCGACTCAGCACCCCGAAGACTACAACTGGTGAAATTTTGATTTTTGCTTTAACTTCCCCTTTAATGATGGTGGACATTGAACAAATTAAACATACCATTGCAAGAGTATGAGTTTTAAATTCAATGGTATACAGACGTTGTTTTATGTGTTTTCACAGAACATGGAACTGACATACCGGTAGTTTTGACTGCCCTGGCCGGTCTATTTCGAATTCACTTGCTATGATTTGCACACCAAAAGCGGTTTTAAAATCGATACCACTACAGTGCTGATGCACAGGCCAGTGTTAGACGACCACAAAAGAGACCAGCGCGGCAAAGGCATGGCGTGGCCTGAGGCGGCTGCTGTTGGGGCAACTCACAGTTCGTTGTTGGTTGATCTCCTGCTATCGTTGACCAGCCTGCCAGCCTGCATCCAAACAACGTTCGGTGCCGGGAATCCAGTCACAGTGCACGAGAGTGATGCAGAAGAACCCTTGTTGGTCTCGTCCGTCGACGGGTTAGTTTGAATGGCGGGTGGAACTGCAACGGTGCACATGAGAAGCAAGAAAGGGGTACTCAGCGGTGACATGAATAGTCACCGTCCCACAAGACGATCAGGCACATAACACTGATAGCTTCTCCTCTTTCTAAGGCTCTGAATTAAACAGAGGTCATTGTGAACTACTTCAAGTATAATTATGAGAGAGGCCAGTGATGAAAAATCCATTACCCAGTCTGCTGGTATGATATGGCTATGTTATAGACTAAGCACTCTTCGTCAGTGTTCCAAGCAGGGAAATTGGTACCTGACCTTCCATTTTGCGATATGACAGCCCAGCTCAAGGTACTAAAAACAAAGACTATAATAGTTATCTCTCCTTTCATCTCTCAGGCCTTCCCTAATTTGGACAGTGGTCGTGTGTTGCCTGCCTGCCCGGTGGATGCCCAAACGCAACACCGTAAACAGTAGTGCAGGCATGCGTCGTATCATGCCATTAATGCAGTGGATGACATCGTACAGTCACACACACACTGGGTGCAAACTGTTGTTGCCTCACCAAGGCCGGGATAGTAGATAGTCGCACTTGAAAAGAAAACACTCATCAGGTATTCAGTAAAAAAAATTAAATTAAAAAAAATCAGTTCCGGGCCACACGCCCAAGGTCTGAAAACTCAATACCAGATCTTACAGTACAAGGTGATGTTCCTGCTCGTGCCAAACCGGTACACTCCGGCATATTCAACAGACGGACTGCAGATTGTCAGCTGGCCTGTCACGGAGCTGGAGTAGCAGCTTCCGCAGTCACAATTCTGTCCGGGCAGAGACACCATGAAAAGAGCCACTGATGAAGGCAGTGCCAGATCGTAAGTCCAGAAATCTACGCAATGGCCTTCAACTAAGCACCCGTGACATGCTTCGGAACTGGGATAGGTCATCCCTGAGATCCAAACGCATGCTCTCAACGTTGGCCCACTGACTAGGCTGTAATCTTCAGATAGCCTGACACAATAGACATAGCCACCACGAGCCAGTGCCAGGACCTGATCGATACTGGATGTGAGTCGATGCAGTGGGTGCATCAGGTACTATACTACTAATGTTTATATACAAGGAAGCTAGCATTACTGACTTGGGGGGGGAGAGCCAGAACCAAAAGAGTCAATAGTAGCTTCTTATTGTTCTTTCGTCAAGGTAGGCCAGTGTACTATGGAGGCCACAATCCAAAATGAATGGATGAGAAAATAATGCAACCAATCTAGGATCCTGTTTATGGCAATCATGCGGCAATGTTTCTAGCTAATTTCGAATGTATCCACGCTGAGTACCTCATACCGATATACATACTAGTGTGCGTGTGTGTTTCGTAAGGCCACATATACATTGGGAAACCGGTAGAGAGAGAGAGAAAGCAACAGACAGACAGAGACAGACAGAGACAGACAGACACTGACTCAGACAGACTGACAGAGACAGACAGACAGATACAGACAGTCAGACAGAGACAGACAGAGAGCTAGAGAGGCAGACAGACAGAGACAGACAGACAGACTGATGGAGAGACGGAGAGACACACAAACACACACACAGAAAGAGAGAGACGGGGAGGGGGGGGGGAGACGAAATAAGAGAGCAAGAGCTAATCCAGGTCTGTTCACCAGGCTCTAACTCTGCTGCTGAGAACATGATAGCCCTCCGCCCTATCCTATGAAGTCACAAAAGTGATGTTTAGCAATTGTATCTCACAAAAGTGTCTGCTAAGAGCGCAACGTTGGGTCCTCACACCACATCACTCACATCTGCAGTGATAATTTTCTTGCTTCCAAAGTACCAGACCCCTACACCGTCTGGGCTGCTGTTAGTGCAACTGATCGTAGTATTAATACCGGCGTTTAGAACAGTGGTCATCACGGACGTGCCATTTCTTTCGCTGGTCACCGAGCATATTCCAGCCACATCCTCGACTAAAACAAACAAACACAAGTGCAGCAACAAGGGGGACTAAGTTCGCCTATAAGCCGATTTCATATTTGTCAACATGCAGGAGTGTAGTGTAAAACGATGATTTGTACGGCACAAAACAAGAAAGAAAGAGAAACTTTGTTCAGAACCGTTTTCTTGATACGATCATCAATCGAAACGCAAGAGCATTCAAAGTTTTCAAACACATGCACACTCACACACACGCACACACACACACACACACACACACACACACACACACACACACACACACACACACTTGTACTTGTTGCTCACTGCCAAAACTGGCCACGTGGGTCTCCCCAGGAGAGGGGAGAGAGACTCAAAAGGAATCTTGGAAAGATGACTCAATTCGCTATTGAACTGCCCAACGGCCGACACCCCCTGAAATCCCCAAAACTCTGGGTGGACTTGAGCGGATCCCACTTAAGTTATGGGCTGACCACACCTCAGTAAGTGGGTGAGGACAAGGTGCAGAAAAAGGATTGACGGCATCAGGGTATCCGTCCAGGGATCCAACTGCAGTTACCCCTGCCCTCAGTGAAGGTAATACTTGCTACTTGTGTGGGTGGCTAAATCAGAGTGAATTAGCCCCCCCCCCCCCCCCCGAGCAAAAGCCACAGTCCCAACGGAACAAAGAATGTCGATTGTTACTGGACGATGACGAGACCAGTACGATATTTGACAAAGCGGTCTAACTACAATTCGAAGCAGCAAAGCAGCACACCACCCAACTTGGGTGGGTCATAAATATCAAAGATAAGTAAAGAAGGGGGAAGCTTTGCGAGAACGAATTGTACAAGCCGAAAGCCAAACTCCTACAGTACTCCTCATGCATGACATTGTGATGAACTAGTTCACTACAAAACAAGTTGTTTCACACGACGTACGTAGTTAGACCGCTTTGTCAAATCGCCTACTGGTCTCGTCATCGTCCAGTAACAATCGACATTCTTTGTTCCGTTGGGACTGTAGCTTGTGCTCGTTTTCGTTGCGCTTGCCTTCCCCTCTTTGGTCTTCCCATAACCTTGAACCTTCCAAGTTGGAAGGCTGTTGGTTAGCGCTACGGAGATGTGTTGAAGCTAGGTGTCAGGACGTCGAATGTCTCAGTACTCTGTCAGTTTTGTGCCTAGTTGTTGCACTTTCTGACTGTATACAGTATCTAGTTACAGTGGTGGAGAGTTACTCTTAACTCGTTTCCATATGTCCTTTTCCTTTCTACTTTTATTATTGGAGCTGATTGTTTAGTAACTGGTGGTGTTTGTGGACAGTATAGCGTAACTTGTAGTTCCTTGGTCTTTCTCTTTTTGTATAAATTAAACCTTGGCTCTCCATCTGAGTATATTTTATTATTATTAAATTTTGAATAGGGCAGTCCCACAGGCCTAGGGCCATTTTACAGGGTACCCTATGAATTGTTGAATAGATGAACATGTGGTAGTACTTCAAGCAGTGCTGCAAATTTATCCAAAATAGCTCATGAATATAGCATCCTCGGGACTTCACCGCCTGCACTGACCGTCTACAATGTATAAACGCGGCGGCTTTAATCATGCAGCGGATTTCATTATTGTAAGAGCTGAAATGTGGTGCTGCAGCATGATCACCCTTTGCTCGTTTTTACAGAGGTTGTGTATTCAAGGCAACAGGCCCATCGACCATATTCATCCATCTGTTGAGCGTAGGAGCTGCGGGTAGCCATCAAAATCCCGGTGAGAGGGCAGATAATGAGATATGCCTGTTACAGTCTAATCGTGAATTTAAATAGGGACTTGCAGTCCTGCAGCGACTTCGTCCGGTGGTAAAGCTAATCAACGAAAAATGTAACTATTAAACCCACTCGGCCCTTATTTTAATATTTATGGTGACCTACACTTCACTGAACTCACTTGCCAGGATACAGATCACACTTGCAATGAGGAGTAGCACGCACCGGACGACCATCGCCAGTCCTGCCGCGCGGGCCCTGCTCTTGAGATTTGATGATCACAACAATGCTGCGGTTTAGCGCGTAGCGACCGGCACCGATCGAGCTCCCCCTCATGCACCTTCCCCTAATGTCGTAAAGATACGCAGCAACGACAGACGACGAGATCGAGATGCTACTCAATATCACAAATTAATAATGATTGTCTGGTCCTCTGGATAAGCTGTGCATATGCACGTAATATTTGTGGCCTCATGAGCTCAGTTTAGGGCTAGGGCTAGTACAGTAGTCATGGTACTGGTAGTCGTAGACTCGGAACGAAAATAATTCGTGAAATGAAAAGTCGTGAGACTGGTGATCGATAGACTAGAGTACGAGTAGATCTACTAGTACTAGTACTAGTAGTGACTTACTAGACTAGAGTAGAGACTAGACTCAGCTCAGCCGTAGTCGATCGACGTGTTTCCATAGTGCCTAGGCTGTGGTGCATGCTATGCTCTGATGAGTGATGTGATAGATTCAATAACTACAACTAAGTACAAGTGCCCTTTCAGCCTCTCACTGTCTCAGGCTTCACTCTTCAGTTCTGTTATGTAGCTTTTCTGGTCTTTGTTGCCAGTGGCGAGTAGTAGGCTTTTCCACATTACGTTTTGCATCTTTTTGCATCTTGGGGGTAAAATCGCATCGTCCCAGAAAAAAACATCTTCCAATTTTTTTTTGGGGGGGGGGGGGTATTTTCAGCCTCAAATCATTTAAAATGGGGTCCTTTTGCATCTTTTAAATTTTTTTTGGAGACAAAAACATCATTCGATATTCCCGGAAAAAATCGAGTTTTGCATCCGCATCTTGCCGTTATTTTTTCGCTTAGTGTAGGGAGGTGGAAAAGCCTAACGAGCATGCGCACGTGACATATTTTCGATTTGGGGATCACGTGGGTATATCGCGGCCATGTTGTTGCCATGGCAACGGATGCATTTTCGCGCGCATCTTGGCTGAATTTTTGCATCTTTTAAATTTTTTTGGAGACTGCCATTCGCATATATGCATGCCCCAAATGGCAAAAATCATCATTCCCCCGAAAAATCGAGTTTTGCATCCGCATCTTCCCGTTATTTTTTCGCGTATTAAATGTGGAAAAGCCTACAGTGCATTTCAAAACTATAGACGCGTAGGGTTTTTGAAATATTTCAAATTTGGCTGGAACTTTTTGAGAATAGTTTTCGGAATATTGCTCAGGATCGCTCCACAATTACTCTCATAATTATAGTTTCTAAAGGATTGGATAACAGACGCCCAATTTGGAAAAAATTATGCACAAAGTGATCACAGATTTTATGTGGTATAGATGCTGGCATAACGGTTTTTGCCTAGGTACGCGTCATAGTTTTGAAATGGACTGTAGACTAGTGCAGTGAACACAGTGACATGATCACTGCTCGCCACTACACTCGTGTTACGTCACCTGGTACTGACTAGGCCAGGGGTATAGGGCAAGGGCGGCGCGCTGTCTCCTCGACCTCCGCCGCTCCGACTTTTCGCGCACGGGTACGGGTAGGTGCTAGCTGTACGTGCAAGTCTCGTCGATCGTAGCGTTTCAACGCGGTGCGCCGCGCCGTTTGAAGGCCGGCCTGCTGCGCAGGCTCGTACGTCGCTCACTCGTACTGCGGTCGTAGATCTACGTACTCAAAAGGGGGTCCGGATCTCCTCGCGAGGCTCGTTGTGTCAGTGTAACATTTTCTACACATTTTCTACACAAACAACAGTCATGCACGTACAGTCTGTGTACGCTTTTGCAGTGTACAGAGCCTTCAACGCTGAGTGAACTTTTCGGCTCGTTTGTCATTGATTTTTTGGGCCACCGACTGGAATCTGGCTTATCGTCGTAGGACGTGAGTTTCTGTTTGCTTGGCGGTGGCTGTTTCGCTGGGAAACTCTGATGCAGAATACTCCATAGTGCACCATTGCTCTTACTGTGGAGAGCTTTGGTAGAAGACTTGGTGTGTTGAAGCCCTCGAATGGTGTCATTGCTCTGACGTGCGTGACCATAGTTGGTGTGGATATAAATTTTCTGAAATTGGAGGATGGCGGCAGGTATGTCCTGTTAGGTTCTCGACCTTCTCCGTTGCGAATTTCTTGGAGGTGGGTGCCAACCCTGAACGGTTGCTATGAGTTCTCACCTAAGTACCTCAGAGGATGAGATTGCATGGAGGTTTTCGCAAGTGAAAGGTAGTGCTGACGACGATGTTACCGAAGGTAAGACGATTCCCCTAGACTTTGTCAGTTTGTGGGTAGGATTTGTTGCCCATTGTGTCTGTGTGTTTGTATGTAAAAGCAAAAGGGAAGGGGAATAGAGTTCGTTGCGTTTGAATGTAGTCATACAGACGTATTCTAGAAGTCGTGGTGCGAAAGGGCAGTTATGCGGGCTATCCATGGTGCTACTTCAAGAGTTTCCGCTTTTACGATTGGGCAATTGCCTTGCTATTCTACGGGCGTGTTCCTGTCTGGCCACGAACTACAAACACGAGAGATGCTTGCACTTGCTCTACAAATGGGCTTGTGACTATGGTCTGTGAAATATTCATGTATAAAAATGTATTAGTATGCAGTGCTGTGAAATGTTTGGGCTCTATAAGTATTTATTTGGTGGATAACTATTTTCATTTTCTTGAAAATGTTATGTAAAGTACGTTAAAGATCATCACGTTTGCCCCCCTTTTAGCAGCTTATTCAAAAGTGGAAGTTATTCTCTGGATTTGTCACAGCAGTAAACTGCTTGAAGAGAAAAAATACCAGCAAGCATATTGTGAAAGAGGAGGCACCCTACAATTTGTACATGGCACCGTGGAAAAGATGCCAAATTCTTGCATTATCCAAATTGTGTTATATGCGGCAACTCTCATGGAATATTTGCTGCATGTGCTACGTCCAAACAACTTGGTGACCAACAGTGTACTCTAGTGTAATAGTGTATTATGTGGCCGTAAAATTCCGTGTAGGAATATTTGTACAGTAGTGTAGTACTGTGACCTGATGTCCATTTTGTTGGTATGGTTTTGTATGCCGACCTCAGATTAACGGCTTTCACATGATATGTAAATGTCGTTAACCTGATACTAGTATTATCCTCCTGCATGTAAGAAAGCATGCACAGCCTTATGGCTGTTCATAGCCGAGAGAGTGTTAAAAAAATTATTCCCTGTCGTACTGTTTCTCATAATTTGTGTGGGGGGGGGGGGGGGGGCGAACTCTTCACTGTCTTTAAGTTTAAGATGGACAGTGTTGTTGCAAAGACGCTTTGCGTGTTCTCCCCCGGGTAATGTAGGGCACAGAATGCTAACATACTAGACCCTACCTTATCAGAGCACCTCTCAGCTGGACACCGTTCTGTGACTGTTGAGTGTACACGTAGTGATATGCGTGTACTGTAAAAAAACTAATGCAGTATTCTAATGAGGGGCGAATTGACCGATTTCCTTAAATTTTAATATTGCAACCAAGACGACACACTGTGCGATAACCATTCTTGATTTATGATGCATGGCTACAATAATAGAAGCGAACATGGGAGAGAGATAATGTGAAATGTATATGCTTCTCCGAAACGCTTGTTTCCTAAAAATCGACTGAGCTTTAACGATTCTCACTACCGTATCTCCTTGAACAACCGCCGCCCCTTTATTACCAGCCGCCCTTGAATAAGCGCCGCCAGTTTATTTGAACTGAGGGTTATTAGTACACAAGTACAGAGCAGTTGACAATTTATACGCAATTTCACAGCTACGAGATAACCTTCAACTACGATGTCATACTCCTTCACATGCAGCTAGTGCTGCTTTCTGTTCGGACAAGGGACTCAAAGGCGATCTAAAGAAGGGAACAAATCGAACACGTCATGATGATTACCTCTAGCTCTCACAACATAACGAAGAGCAAGACGAGTTATTTTATCGACCACCAAAAAAGAAAATGGTACGCGAACAAAGTAAACGGATCAAATGTGAAGACGCACTGAGGATTGTCAAATCTACAAAACCAAGAACTCAGATCGGAGAACTTGTCTAGGAGAAAGTGGACACTGACGCTGTGAAAGAAACGAACGCAGAAAGAGAAATCAAACGGGAGAGAACAAAACTTGCGCGTCCTTTTTTATTATTGCATCCAAAATGTTCAGCGTCGACGTCTTCTTGAAGCTCCTCTACTTCATCCTCGTCGGCATGAGGGACTGCTGCTGCTGAACATGCAACTAACTTGCTAGTCGAGCCTCAAGCTAACTCGCCATGATATTCTTTCCAGTGCAACTGGAGAAGAAAAGAAGATGCACTAGCCTACAGTGTAGCTGGACAACACAGGTTCAACAGTGCACATCGTATGTGAACTCTACGCATACAGCACGCACATTGTGACGTACAACTATTTTTCAGGGCCGCACCCGTTTTGCTAGTTTTGAATACAGGCCGCGGCGGCTGTTCAAGGAAATACGGTACTCAACGCTGATTCTCACTGACAACCCTACTACCTAGTATTGAAAAAAAATAGCGACAGAGTTCTCTGCTACAGCCACAAGGAGGACTAAGTTAGCTTGTACTCCCCATTTCATTGTTTCGTAGATTCACTGATGACCGTAAAAAGAAGACAGTTCTGAACAAATCCTTTCGTTCTTTCTCATTGTGTGCCCTGTAATCATCGTTTTTACATGATACTCATGCATGTTGACTAATAGGAAATGCTTTCAGCTAACTTAGTCCTCCTTGTAGTATAAAGCTGTTGTCTCCAAAAGGTTTGTTTGCAGATTTATCTGCGTTAGCCCACTAGTTTTAGCATTATCCCGTGCGTGATGCTGCCATGGAGATTCATTCACCTGAGCTCATATTTTGGCGCGAACGTATCCCACGAGCTATCCCGGTAACAAGTTACGATCCCGGTGCCATGAGGTAGCTGGGGGTGGAAATGGCATGCCGTGGCATTCCGTGGGCTTTTTTGTAGTGCAAGTACCGTCGTGCATCCTGCCGCGTGAATCGATTTTCGTTTTTCCCGCGTCACGGCAAGCTCTCGGGATCACGTGCTTCACTTCCCAACGGGATGCGCTGCAGTAGTGTAAATCGCCTCTTAGTGTGCGCCGTGTATTATGACTGTGCAGTCACCTTAATCACAAGGTATACCTATGCACAAGTGTTCGTGTAGGCAAGGGACGATTGAGTAATTCTGTGTGTCTGTATCGTGTATCATCAGGCTTTTACCGGTATATGTGACAAATTATGGTATTGAAATGATCGAACGCCGCGCCAGCAGCCTACACCGGGGTTCTTGTTGTTGGTGCGCCATTCTCTCTTTTCGTTGCCATGATTTTTCTTGTCTACGCGAAAGCTATTCATATTATTTTAGCAAAGCGAAGTCATGTTGCTGGTGTGATGAGGTCAGCCACAGAGCGCATGTGGGGGAGGTGGAATTGCTTTAAAAGTTGAAACGAAAGTATTTCGTTTCGGCTTCATCACAAGGTATACACACGTTCTAATGCTGTCAAATAGGAGCGCCCGTTGGTCCGACAGTGCTTGTGTAAGAAAGGGCCGATTGTGTAATTCTGTTTGTCTGTAACATCCGTGTATTGTCAAGTTTATTTTTATAACATATTATGGTATTGAAAGGATCGAATGTCGCACCAGCCGCCTACCCCCTCCCATGATGGAAAATTAGATCCTCGTTGAATGTTGGCCATATGATTTAACCGTTCAAGTTTCAGGATTTTCTAATTGAAAGTAAAAAATGTAGTGTATAGCTGTTGTTGTTGTTGTTGTTGTTGTTGTTGTTGTCGTCGTCGTCGTTGTCGCCACCGCTGTTGTTGCTGCTGCTGCTATTGTTGTGGCTGCTGCTGCTGTTAGAAATCTTTATTCTCACTAGGGGCAGTGGCAGAGAAGAAAGGCTGTTGTTGTTGGTGGTGTTGGTGTTGGTGGTGTTGGTGTTGGTGGTGTTGGTGTTATATTGCTGGTCCTTCAGCCCTATACAGGTATCCATGTACATGTACTGATGTTTCACCTGACCTATGTGTGTGTGTGTGTTTGTTACTGTAGCTGATATCATCTCTGCTGTCGAGTTTAATGAGAGTGGTAACCTTCTGGCCACCGGTGATAAAGGCGGCCGCATTGTAATCTTTCAAAGAGACTCATCTGTAAGTGGTCACCTCACTTGGTCATCTCGGTGTTTTCTTGCGTCCAGTGACAGATGTGGGCATCGTGTTGCCTAGTTCTTTTGGGGGGTATTTAGTGCTGGCCGATGGTAGTCATGTGTAGAATGTGAGGAGCAGTTTGCCGCTGGATGATAATGTACCAGCGTGTTTACCTTGTTCTAATGGACAACTTGGCGCAGTTGTTCCAAGCTGCGTGTCTACTGTGAATATACAAGAAGTGCGTAATGCAGTCCATAGGCTGTGGACATGACTATCTCACGCGCAGCAGGGCATCTGAAGGCCCAGCTGGAGTGTATTGCCAAACAAGGCGTTTGATTTCTGCTGCACGTTTCATCCATCTATCGAGTTGCTGAACTTCACAAGAAACTATGAGTATATGTAAAAAAAAAGAAAAGAAAAAAAGCTCTTGTTACAGTGGCCCCTTTATAATCCGGCACCATTTGTGCTACAGAAATTCTGCTGGATTAGGAAGGGTGCTGGATTATGAAATCTGATGTTCTGCTGCAGTGTGTATGATGAGGACTTTTTTGGTTACTGAAAATGGTGCTTGTCTAAAGAGGGTGCTGGTTTATAAAGTGCCGAATAAAAGAGGGACGGCTGTATAGCCTTTTATTATTTAATTTGTCTTCATTGTCTTGGATATTCTTGTTGCTGCTGCTGCTGTTGTTGGTGTGGTGGTGGTGGTGGTGGTGGTGGTGGTGGTAATGTTGCTTCAGGTACGGAATACGGCTGACTATAATGTCTACTGCACATTTCAAAGCCATGAAGCGGAGTTCGATTACTTGAAGAGTCTTGAGATTGAAGAAAAAATCAACCAAATCCGATGGTTGCGCCAGCCGAATCATGCAAACTTCCTTTTAGCTACAAATGGTATGTTTGCGTTCGGTGTTTTGTGGAGCATGTGCACTTCTGTGTCTTTTCCATGGGTATTTCCTTTGCTTAAAAGTGGGTTGAGGTAGTAAAATTGATCTGAACAACGCATCTGCATAACTTACAGCGTATTTTGACAGAGCTCATTGCCATTTTTACGTGGGCTTGGGTTAGAAATTTCATTGCTTTCTATTCAATCTCGTCTTTGCTCTCTCTTTTCTTTTCTTTTTCTTCTTTTATTGTCCTGGCCACCCTGCAGATAAAACCGTTAAACTATGGAAGATTGTGGAGCGTTCAAAGCGGGCGGTTGGTTTCAACACAGTCACAGACGGTGGTGTATTACGAGACAGCCAATCAATATCAACCGTCAAGGTGCCGTTCTTCACACCGTCCGACCCAAGTATCGAAGCCATTCCAAAGCGTATATTTGCTAATGCCCATGGCTACCATATCAACTCGGTATCGTTAAATAGCGACAATGTCACATTCATCTCCGCAGATGATCTTCGAATCAACCTCTGGAATATCGACAACAACATGGAAAGCTTCAGTATCCTCCTCAGCATGTTTTACTGGTGTGTTTGTCCTGATTTAGCCGTAGTTTAGTCGAACACGCTGGAAGGTCTTGTCTATGCACGGCAAATATTGGAATTTATTCCTTGCAAGCAATGCTGTGTCTCTGTTTAAAAGGCTAATGCTTTTGTCAGCTCTGCGGTGAGGGTCTACACTGGGCTGGAACTTTCTCTACAGTGCTAGCACGTGTGTCATGTGCTGAATTCAGTTTTCACAGTGTTTGTTGATATTTGTGGCCAGGGTCCAGGGTTACTAGTACTCTCGTTATTGGACAATGATTGGATTCCTTGACGGGGGCGCCCTCAGATATTCTCGATATAAAGCCGGCCAACATGGAAGAACTCACGGAAGTTATCACCGCCGCAGAATTCCACCCGAGCCACTCGCACGAGTTCGTCTACAGTATCAGCAAGGGATCCATTCGTATGTGTGATATGCGTGCTTCGGCCCTGTGCGATTCGCATGCGAAAGGTATGTAATACGTACCTTGTTACCATTGTTTTACAGATGAACGTCGACACCGTGAGTGTGCCAGGGTGCTTTTATTGTCGTACATTGTGCCCGTTATGTAGGATCTCCCGGTGACCACCAACCCCAGCATGTACCGGTACATTGTACGATATATGAGTACAGTTTGGCTAGGCGTTAACCAACCCAAGCCTGGAGCAGCTCCTATTACATGACTATTTGTACATGTGTGCGTCCAGCAGCATCTGTACCTCTTCCAGAGCGTCAAGGGCTCTGCAAGTTGAGGTCGCCGAATATGCACTTCGCTGTGTAAATACCTTTATGCAACTTTCAGGGAGATCGTGATACCGTTTACGCAGCCGTTCCATTTCATCTTTATGAATCTAATATCGCCTTTGACCATGAACAAATGTTTACAGAAGAAGTGTTCTAAGTTGTTCTCTGGCATGCATACACCCCAGAAATGATATTCTTGTAAGGGGTTTAAATATTACTTACTAGTGTGCACTTTGTTGCCGTTATGGTGGGTTGCAAGTACGAAAAATGCAGTTTTCCGAACTTTTAAGGCCCCATAACTTTTGGGCATAAGTACAATACAATGTGTCTCCCATATGAATATCATTCCTGTGATCTATGCGTGCCAGAGAAACTAAGAAAGTAGCACTTCTTCTGTGAAAGTTGCACGTACAAGTATGTGTATGAACTGCCGTATTAGTCACGATATCCTTATTGGTGCTGCAATGTGTGTTTTGTAAGCTTCCTTATTTGGCTTACTTGTGCTTATTACGAATTAATAGTGGTAGCGACTGCGGCATTGATTTATTAGGAAAGGGTTGTACTTGTACTTGTACTTCACCGGAGTAAAAGGAAGCGCGTCTGCACATATGGAATCAGGAAGAGCTATCACCAATGGTCCTTATGCCCGTTGTACAGATGTACAAAGTTCTGTACTACAGTCTGTCCGCGAAAAGAATGCAGTGCGACTTTTTCATGTAAATTTTATATTTCACAAGCGGAAAATGTGAACATCACAGCCTAAATTGAGGTAGGGCCGTAGGTGTGTACATGCCCAGTTGGGTGTTCGCTGTGTGCTATACTTGCACACTTGACCAATTTAGCGTCATTATCAATGGCAAACAGTCGCTTTTCCAGCTGCATCACTTTAGATAGAACTAATGAATAGTCGTCACTGTCACATCTGAGAGGAACCTGGGGAGTCGCGGGCACTCTCGGATCAAAAACAATGGTGCGCTGCCTCGAGACGGGCCTTGCGCTGGTATGGAATGTGCGCATGACATCAGAAGATCCGATTACGCTCGACCAAGACCCTATGCAGAGCTGGATCAGGCGTTGCATGCACACTCTGGGGGGTTATGTACTCTTGGTGGTACTCATGGCTGTTTGGAGGGGGATCAACATTCTCAGTTATCTCGATAGCATTGCATACCGTCTCCAAGTAGTTGGTGAATACTGTCCTGCTCTTTCTGCTGCCACTGCTGTTGCTGTAATCCTGGTAATCACCCCTCATGTCTGCTTTTGTCCTTTCTTCATTTTCTGCCTCTGGCCTTCGTAGTATTTGAGGAGCCCATGGATCCGTCTAGCAAGTCATTCTTTTCAGAGATTATTGCATCCATATCAGATGTGCGCTATAGTCATGATGGCCGCTATTTGCTGAGCCGGGACTACCTCACCATCAAGGTGTGGGACGTCAAGATGGAGCGGAAGCCGGTGCACACATTCCAGGTGCACGACTACCTGCGCTCACAGCTGTGTCCTCTTTACGAGAATGACTGCATCTTCGACAAGTTCCAGTGCTGCTGGAGTGGCAACGATACGTATCCTCTCTCTCCTTTCCTCCTACTATTGTGCTCCTCCCAACTGTGTGTGTTTGTCATGAAGTTGTTTTCAAAAGCCTAGCTTTGTCTTGTCCAAACCAATTCGAGAGCTAGTATTCTAAGCTGATATGTCCATGGATTCCGGCTTGATTATCACTACTTCAAAGTACAAGTAAGCCAGGCCCATGTGCCCAATGCTCTTTCATATCAGGCGTGTTTGACATCATCTCTTTCGCTGGGAAGCGGTGATGTCATTCCAGTGGATTATCTTGGAAGGGGGGGGGGGGGGGGGGTGCGCACACGTGATCACATGCCATGTTCATGCTGGTATTTGTCATCGTTTGCAGTGCTGATCGTTGTACTAGTGGTGTGTTCACTTCAAGTATTGCTGTTGCTACTAGTAGTTCTGGCCCTGTTCAGTGGTGTTTTGTCCTTGACTGCGTCCGCCACCAGCCACATCATGACTGGCTCGTACAACAACTTCTTCCGTGTGTTCAATGTGAACACTGGCTTCAATGAGTGCTTGGAGGCGTCGCGTGAAGCCATTCACGCTACCGAGCCGCTGCAGCACCGTGCGGTCTCCAACAACGCGTCCAGCAAGCGTAACCGCTCCGAGCTCAGCGTTGAGTCTATAGATTTCAACCGGAAAGTACTGCACTCAGCGTGGCATCCGCGTGAGAAGGTTGTAGCAGTGGCCGCTACCAACAACCTATTCATCTTCCAAGGCTGGCCTGTAAGATAGTCAATGTGGTGTTGCTACTATTAGGGTTTTGACAATAGTGGCCATCCTGCGTTCCATCTCTCGGGCGCGCGCGTGCGTGTGTGTTTGTGTGGGTGTGGTTGTTTATGCCAGTTCGTTTGTGGTTGTCTTTGTGAAATCAGTGAAACACTTGAGCTCTTTCCCGCTCTATACTCTAGCCAGCCACCTTTCCTTTCCTATATAGCATGTCACGAATAGCCATGCCAATGCTTTTCTTATTGGATTGACTTACATGTATATCCAATCATTCCATCCTTGCCATTCCTCTGCCATTGTTTGGCCACAAATTATTTGTTTCACTGGATTTTGAAAGATCTTCTATTATGATTTTGCCATTGTCCTATCATACTAGGACACGACCATAATATTTCTTTTTACAATTTTTTAACCAAAGCACCGTCACTTTTCAATCTCTTTTCATTGCCGACGTTTATCACTCACTGTCCCATCCCATGAAGGAAATTATCTTCTCCGGCTAACTTACGCCACACCGCCACTTACCATGTGGCTTTCCGTCATTGTGCATTGCATTCGCACCATGCAATGTGCTGATACCTCCTGCTTTCAGTCACTGCCATCTTGGTTTATGAGTTGCCACGTCCATCTCAATGGGGTTCGGTAAAAACTGAAGGAGCAGGGGTGAAATGCATTCTGTTATGTTTATTGGATATGTGAGGGATGCTTTCACTGGAACAGTACAGTGAAACAGAGGTTGCTAAGGCTGACTGCTCAATGCCGTTTGGGGTTCTGATACCCCCTGGACGCTTGGTACTCATTCACAGGTATGAGCCCTTAGCCGCGGTCGATTTTAGTAGAACAGATCGTTTTAGTGGTCCTCTGGTCCACGTGGCCGTCTCAATGAGTATGTGGGCCCCATGAACAGGTTTTACTATTAATGGCAGCTTGTGCAGATCTGCCATCGCTCAGATATCAGAGGTACATGCCGTATTTTCCGGGGTGTTAGCCGCACCGGGGTCTAAGCTGCTCTCCCCCCCCCCCCCCCCCTCTTTCAGGCCCAAAATTGTGTCATTTTTGTGTTAGCCGCACGTTCGACTGTGAATTTGTTGGTCATGCAAACTTTATGATCAAAATAATCAGTTTATTAGTTTTAAGTGCCAGGGATGGATGTGGCAAATGGGATTTAGGCCTTTGGTTGGTGGATCTGATCTATTCTCCCCCACCGTTTAGGAGCCGCATCTGACGCCTGATCATGGGGTGGTGGCGTCCCACGGAAGCGGAAAGGTGGTTCTTGACCAGGGAGTTGTACGACTCCTTGTTCTTGACCTGCCCGGTACGTGAACCCGTCGAATTTATTTATTTAGGTGCCAGGGCATAACAGACGTTGCCAGTACCAGTAGTTTAAAAGTTGGGAAGCGCGGCTGAAGTTTGGCAAAGGCATCCAAGTTTATCATTCACTCTGAACTGACAACATGTAGAACTAAGCTTTGTACTATTGCAATACAGGTAGACTCCCTTTAATCCGAACCTCAAATTGCCAGGCCCTGACTTCGAATTATCCAGAACTTCTAATTATCCAAATGCAGCCCCATGCACTGATAATTATGTATGTCAAAATGCTTGAAATCGCTTGCTGAATATTTTTGGCACATTTTTATTTGCATCAACGAAACATAAGTACGGGTCAGATCATGTACAACGCTAACGGATCATCAAAACACTGGATCGACACAAAACCATTTTGACATCTAGTGAAGAAGTAAGTTGTCAGTCACTGCAGCTTTCCTGAAACAATTTCAACGGAAAAGAACTGCGCTGCCTAATCGGCGTCATGAAAGGCCGTTGGACAGCAGCACGTCGTTCTGAAGAACGGAAGTGGAGCAAAGGCATAGACAATATTTACGACAATAGTGTTGTTGTGCGCCAACATCTCCGCGCACGAGCTGGCGCGGTAAGAAAGGCCATCGAGATCCGCGAAGAGAGTCTGCCACCAGGAAGAAGTCGTCTTCAATCAAACCTTTGCAATTTGCCTCGCACGGGCTTGAATCAAATTTCGAGAGAAGGTGGGTTTCTTGGACGCTATAGTCGATCCTGCAGCGGACCATCGATCGATTTTTGAGCTACTCTTGGCTAGAGAAGGAGAAAAGAATGAACTTCGAATTACAAGGATTGCAACTCAATCTCACTTCGAAATAAGCGTTCAAGGGACATAGCCAATGTACTGTAAACAGCTCTTCTGTACGAAGACTGGGTTCGAATTATCCAACCGGCGCACTTTTCGTACTTCGAATTATGCATTCGATTTTGACTTGAAGTGACTTGCAGAAGATCGGTACGACGAAAAAGTTCGAATTACACGGAATGTTCGAATTATACCGTATTCGAATTAGAGGGAGTCTACCTGTAATAGATTTGAAACTCGGATGTTGAGCCAATAATGAAATTAATGTAGAAAGGAAAAGGGCATATGGATACGAGTTAGGAGTAACTCTCCATCACTGTAACCAGATACTATATACAGTCAGAAAGTGCAACAACTAGGCACAAAACTGACAGAGTACGAGGTGAATAGCAATTTCTGGACATGAAAATAAAATAGAGCCCTACTGGCTGTATGTTATACATTTTTCTTATATCTTTGTATTTATTGTATGGCCTAATCCTTTATCTTTCCAAATATGTGACAATTGCTCATGCTGTGATTACAGAGACTTGATAGCAGGTAGTTTTGGACAGGCCAATTTTTGGCCTAAATTTCAGTGTATGGAATTCTGGACATGAAAGTAAAATAGCGTCGATAGGCATCCTATACTGCACCATTTTTGTTTTTTCTATTGGTGGACTGCAGTTGGCCTCTTCACACTTCTAGCCAACAAGTCCAAGACTATGCAGCGTCTGAAGTGGAGTGCACATGTGGAAGCCAACAATTCGTCCATTACTTCTTATTTTACTCAAAGTTCAAAATTCTCATACGATATAGTACCACAAAACTCGTTGAAATGCCGCACAAGCAAAGGCTATCAACAAGGCACTGACACGAGGAGAAACTACAACAGCCCAGCTGTCAACTACGGCAAGAAAAAACTTCATCAACTTGACTGACTTGACTCTACTTCAAGTACACGCAACGAAAAATTATTTTACTCGAAATGTCCAGAAATGTACAATGTCCAGAAATAGCAATTCACCTCGTACTGAGACATTCGACGTCCTGACACCTCTGAATACAGTGATGGAGAGTAATTAGATATCCTTAGCAAAAAAAGCAAACCTTTCCGTACTTCGGATCGTTCAAGCTGACTTTTCCCTTAGCACAATGTACGTTATAGTTCAGACGAAGTAGTCGTGACAACCGTGGCAATATGAATTTTCGTGGAAACAGGTGCGGGAAATTCAAAATTTTGAACCAGGTATTAGTTTGCTGTCGTTCCGAAAGAATACCTTGGCGAGGTCTTTCACTCTGGAATAGAAAAAGCACGGCGAAAATAAGTTTTCGCTGTTCCCAGGTCCTTGGAAAACCTTTCCTAAACGCAGCACCGAAGGCTGTAAGGGTTCTCCAGCTCCGGCAGCACGTCTGGGAGAGGCCGATGAATTTCTTCCTCAGGAGTGCCGTGGAACTGGTCCTTTGTTTCCCAGATGGGATAGAGGGTGAAAGGCACGAAGCAGAGGACGCAGACATTGTCAACTGAAAGGCAAAACTAGCCAAATAAGCTAAATATTCACAAGAGGAAGGAATCTCGACTCTCATCTCGATCTGGACGTGCTTTTTATCTCCCGCCAGTTACAAAACAATGAGAGTTTTTGCATTTTTTGCAGAATTGCCATAATGAACATCGGCCCGTTATTTTGAGCTCTATAACGTTTTTCCGTTACCCGATAACGTCTTTTGTCACGGCTGGGAGTGAGTACCGTAAAAGTTAGCGTTATCGTACTTTTGCTAAGGATGTCTACTCTTAACTCGTATCCATATGTCCTCTTCCTTTCTGCAAAAATAGATGGCAGTAGATAAAAAGTAGCCAAATGATACTATGCATGAATTATATGCACGGAGCACTGTAGCGCTGATCAATTCACATCCACCATTCGGAGTCGTTGCTGCAAACAGTTTATGCGCTTCAAAGTGGGGCCACCACTCCCGTTACCCTTTGGGCTTACGGCCGTTGGTATGTGTAGTATAATTACATAATGATGTGTGTTCTTGGGCAGAAAATAGCTTTGTGCTTGGTCTCCGTGTTCTCTGGTGATTCTGCATTGTAGGGCACGGAAAGTTGTGTTGTTAGAAGGCCAACAATGGCTCCTGCTAGTCCTATGGCCTCGTGGAAACGAAAGTTGCGGAACTGGAAGGGTAGCGGAAGTTGAATGGCTTGAGTTCGGATTCCTCTGGAGTGTTTCACGAACAGCTATCCTGTCCTCAAGCCAGACTCGGTGATTGTCGCGGACGTGAGGAGTACAATTGAACCTCTCTCTCTATCTCTCTCTCTCTCTCTCTCTCTCTCTCTCTCTCTCTCGCCCCCCTCTCTCTCTCTCTCTCTCTCTCTCTCTCTCTCTTCTCTTTCCTTTCTCTCTCTCTCTCCCTCTGTCTTCCCTCTTCGCTCTCTCTCTCTTTTTAGTTGCGTTCATGTATCTTGCCTTTGTGACATTTTCAAGCAAACATAGTTTTCTCCTAACTGTGACACGGTGAACTCTGTGTTCGAGTGACGTTGCGCACTTTTCTACACATTGCCGTGTGTTAACATCCTTCCATTTCTTTGCTTTGCAGCCAGAATGCCGCTGCAGCGGCCAGTAGTATGCTGGCTTTAGTTTGTGATGGTGGCTGACGACACGGAAACTGGACCTGTTTTTTCTTCTTCAGCTTTCCCCTCCCTTGTTGTTGTTGTTGTTCTCCCTTTTACTGCTCTCTTTTTTTGTCCGGGGGTGTGGCGTGGTGCGCTGACCTCTGCATGATTCATGTCACCGCTAAACTGTTTTTTGTTTTGTTTTTTTTTGACCGGAGGGGATTGTACTGCATGGTGCAGTGTATCACTTGAGTTCCACTTTCATCCTGCCTTCTTGCCGTCCAATCTACTTTAGTGATTATTTGTTGGTATACTTTTTTTAATACTTGAGAAATTGGTCTTCCAAGTAGGGAACCGTGTCTTGACAGACTGGACCCTCAGCTGCAGTTTTCAGTTGCTGTACTCTTTTAAGAATTCTTTCACCAGCACCTTACACGTCTTGAGCCAGTGCGTAATAGTAATTGTTCTGAACGTTTTGTTTTATTTGTGAGTTTTCAGTTTCTTTACTATGCCATCGTTGTGTTCTTGCTTCACTGCTTGGTGATTCTAACAAAAATGTCTTATAACTTTATTGCAAGGAGATTGTTTTAATTTCTATCACGCAGCACATTGTGTTGTCTTGGAATCGTTCCAGAGCAGACCATCGTGAAGTACGGCCAGCCAGAATTCATGTGCATATGGTGGTGCTAGTGCCTGCTCGTGATTTCTTGAGTGTATGTTAGCTTCCGGAGAAGTGAACAGCTCACAAATCTTCACCTGTTCATTTTATTCGGTCGCACCGCTAATTCGTGCTCTGGGTTATGTTACGTCTAAAAACTCTTCCGCTTCGATTTCCTGGACTTTTTTTGCATGGATGTTCTATGTTTAATGAAATATACCGTAAACGCTCGAATACAAGCCCCGTTCGAATAGAGCCCGTGTGCCAGAGGGAATCGGAATAATAAAGCCCCGTCTCGTATAAAAGCCCGGGGCTATAATCGAGTGCACAATGTCCATACCACCAAGAGTACATAGCCCCGGGTTATGTACTCTTGATACCACACAGTGCAGTTACGAATACGAGTACTTTACCGTACAACGATCGAGTGTACCGGTAGTCACTGCATGTACTGATCTGCATGAATAGTGTGAAACAATTGGTATTTCTATTAAAAAATAGAGCCCCCTCTCGAATAAAGTCCTCTCTCAAATAATAACCCCCTCGATGTGTCTTCTGGAAAAATAGAGCCCACTTCAATTCTCACTTGACCGACTCACGACTGCCATCCACAGCACACGAGATGACCATCGAACCTTCCACTCACTCCCTGCTTGTTTCGAGGAATTCACCGTAGCTTGAGTAGGCTGAGGAAGATTGTGCCTGAAGAGCACCTTTTTTACTAGTTATCTGGTTATACATAGTGCTCTCCAGGCACAAACATCACCAGGGGCAGGGATACAAACTAATACCAAGAGTAGATAAACAAGAGTGTGCAACTCCGGATGGATTGGCCCACGGCGGAATTTTTTGTTGACGTAATCTTTTCGACGACGCACGCGCTGCGAGCCTTTTGGAGAGTTTTCCCTCGTGCACTTGGCTGGGCTTTACACTACAAGGTCGGTGCCCAGCACGTGCTCTCACACTGCTCTGCGGCAAAGCCGCGTTTCTCTGAAAAAAGGTGACGTAAACAAAAAATTCCGCCGTGGGCGCGGGGTATCTGCAGATTGTGCAGGAGAGATCCGGAGTTGCACACTCTTGTTTATCTACTCTTGCTAATACTAGTATACTAGTAATAGACCGATCCCCTTATTATACTGGGTTCGAGCACGGGGGCAACCTCACTCGCGATCGAGCTAGTTTTTGAACGTGACAGCATCTTTGACAGTGTGTTTCAGGTTTGTTTTGGAATGTCTTCTGCTTAGTTCAAGTAGTTTGCGATGGCTTCGAGCGGTGCTAAACCTCCTGCTGGTAGGAGCAGAGTCTCCGAGAGAGACATGGACTGTGATGCCGCTGCAGGATTTTTTCAAGGCGCGGGAGGGAATGATCTCGGGCCACAAACAGGAGTTACTCCAGAGGTGAGTTTTTTTGTTGTTGAAATATTCGAATCGCGAATCGTGTTGTCAGATTTATTTTGTGCCTTGGCTACAGCAGACCATATTTCTTTCTCCTTGCGATCGGTGCTGAAGATAATAGTAACCTTTTCTGGTCTGTCTTTTCCTCTCCAGAGCCGTCTTCTATGAAGGTAACCGTGGTGCTGCCAAGTCACCAAGTCGCGATCAGCAGCCCTGAAGTGGAAAAATCGATTTTCCAACGATCTGGTTGGACATCAGCCACTAAAGTACTTCTGATTTGCCTGTAGTGACAACAGCAGCCATCCTTGGACACCTTGCAAAGACAGGAAAAGGCACTGGTGGAAGCGACTGCTATGAGGTGACGATAGCAGTGCAGTGGTGATCGCTGTTTTGTCAAGTCGAAGGGCTAGCCAACCCAGAGGAAGCATAAAAAAAACGATGAGCAGTGCGTGGTATTTGTTGAGCGTGAAGAGCTAGAGGAGGACAGTGCAAACACATGGACGGAGTGGATGGTGTTTGAAGAACAGTGTGCTGTGTGCCGGCTGGTGGTGATGGTGGTCTTTGTCAGCATGTATTCGTGCTGCTTCTTGTGCTGGAACACTTCTCGCCCAGGAAGGCAGATTGCGTGCTCCCTGGCCCTCAGTTGGCAATGGGGCATTTGTTCCAGGAACATTACCCCAGAGCCAATGATGAGTCGTACCTTTGAAAAGTCGAAGCTTGCTGTTAATCGCAAGCGTAGCGCAGTGGATTGCTCCCTCTTCGAAGCACGAGGGCCAAAGCTTGCCGCTGTCTGCAGCAAAGTGTGTGTGCGGTTCTTTCGAACCTATGAATATACCCCCCTGCATGTTCAGAGTGAACTATTTTCTAGTATATTTAACATCCTCAACCTGCCACTACCATGCGCTCTTGGCCGAACTAATGCACGAAGCATAAACACACCAGCACAGCAAGGACACTTCCGTTGACAGATATTGTTTACGCCTCTAGACCGCTGTTTCTTTTCTTCGAGCTCATCGTTAGAAAAGGATAGTAGCAGGATACTAATGATGATCTAATATAAGGTGATAGACGGTTTATGGTCCGATACTGATGATTGAAGATCTACGAAAGCAATGACAGTGATTGCGAAATGGATAATATTATCATGATTATATGCCAGTCTGGTAATGCGTTGTACTAGTGGACAGCATTGAAATCATCACTGCATTCGATGCAAATATTGGTAAAACCTTTGGTTTCAGTATTGGAAAAAAAGAGTAAGAGAACCGGGTTGATTTGGTTGCATCTGCGACTGGCTACCGGGTGTTGTGATCAGCAATGTTACCATGGGAGAAAATTAGAGCGCAAGGATCTGTTGGGTCTTGTTATGCCGTGCCGATGCGAGAACCCTAAGTGCATGGCAAAATAGAACTGTTTCATCCAGAATGCAGAATGTCTTGCGGCACATGGCATTGATGACTGAACATCTCGCCAGCTTGCCCAAATGGGGATCATGCCCAAACGGAGGAACAAGACATCTTTCCAGCTCAGCTAGCTATATAGTATATACCGTGAAACGGATGATTAACTTGTGCCACGCATGCCAGCTTCTGTTCCATTCGGCCCAGGCTTAGACAAATCAATGCCAATAGCAGCTGATCCTCCATTACATGCTCATTGGCGATTTACGGCCACCTCCAACTGTATCCGCCGTCCCTCAGCTTCCGTCTTCGCAGATCTGGCTCGGCGCAGTACATTTTCTCGGCTAGGCTCAAAGAAGTCCCACAGAGCGGTCCAAACACCTGAAGGCAAACCAGTCAGAAACTGGAGCGGCTCAGAGTCTTTCTTTATGTTATTGTACTACGTAAGCTGTTTTTCGGCTTTCTTCCCCCCATCGTCCAACTGCTCCACGAGACTCTGTACACGAGCTCTCCTTGCTGCCAACTCCTGATGCAGATGCTATACTTCCATTACAGGACCAAACTGCACTAAGCCAGGTTCCTTTCCAACTCAAAATGCCGTTGCCTCTCAGCAAAATACTGGTTTGCGAGCATGGGGAGCTCGTGATGCAGACGCTGCACTTCCATGACCGAACTGCACTAGGCTAAGCAAATACTGTTTTGCGAGCATGGGGAGCAGAGCGTCCAGACTCCACTCTCTTGCGAAAAGCAAACCAGGTACCGTAGGACAGCTGTTTGGTTTCCTGGACTCATCCTGCCCTTGTAGAACTGGGCAAAACGATTTCGACTTCGGGATCGAAATGATCGCTGCAACTCAAATATTCAGAGTGACCCTAAAATTACGTCCTTCCGCACGGGGAATAGCCTGGATCCGCTTGCTCCAGGCCGCTGTGGCTCCACACGAGGAAAGGAGTGAAATGACTTGTTTGCTTCGTCCTCCTGTTCTGACAGTGAGGAACGCAGCAATGATCCTGAGAAGGCATCCTGAAGTCATAAAAAGGAAGATCTAAACAAAAACAAAACAGCTCAAATCAAAAGTCCTTGTGGCATTTTTTGTAGACAGGCTTGCACTGCGTGTAGATTTCGCGTGCTCTGCAATACGCATGCGAGAAGTCACGCACAGCCGAGGTGAGGTTGGTCGCGTGTGTGCAGCAGGATCCCACGCGACTGCGGAGTTGCCCCCTTGCTCGAACCCAGACAATAATAAGGGGATCGGTCTATTACACAGTTACACTACC